CTGACTAACGGCAAGTATCGGCAAGACAGCGACAGGCTCTCCGAATGCCTCGGAGTCGTACTTGACAAGCCATCCATTGTCCACCCACAACTTCATTTCTGAAGCAAACTGCTCCTCCTCGCTGACGCTTAGAGACTTCCGCGAGTACTCTCCAATGCCGGAACCAATGTGCTGCTCGGGTGCAACGCCACTCTTCCACGACCACTGAGCAATCCAATGACCACGCTCATTCGACCAGTTAGCTAGGCAATCATTCGCCTTCAAGGTGACTGTCGACTCGGACTCGGTAACATCGATGTGACGAGAAAGCTTGTTAGGCTTCTCAGATTCGGGTTGGGGAGATGCACCGGCAGCGACACCTGCCTGCTGACCAAACACAACTGAGGACAGCGTGCCCCCTAGACCGTCGTAACGTAGAGTGAGGCCACCGACCTTGCCAATGGTATCTGTGCCAATCAGGAAGTCCGTGTTCAAGGACGACAAGTTGGGCACAACGAGACAATCAATAGTGATCCGAGGCAAATGGACGGCTCCATCAAGTCGTTGCACACGTAGCGTGACGTTGCCAAGGATAGTAAGTGGTGTTCCGTCGATAGACAACAGCTTGTCCTGACAGGGAGAAACTGCAGCTGATAAGTTCAATCGGTCAACAACAGCCGACTCCACCAGTGTGCGAGTACAGCCAGAATCCACCACAGAGGCAAAACGCGTCCACGTACTAGACTCAGTACTGGGTTCCTGTACGTCCACCGCTACACGAACTAGGTCTCCATCCGATTTTGCCAGAGCAAGGCAAATATCCGTACGTTCAGGCGGCGCGTGACCAGCAGCGACATTTCCAACTCGACTCTTGTTCGGACAGTCCTTGGAAATATGCCCTTTCGCTTTACAGGCATAACAGGTGACACTGGGCTTACGCTTCGGGCACTGTGATCTCACATGGCCCACGGCCTTACACTGGTAACACACGAGCGACTTCTTGGGCTGAGAGCTAGCAGCAGCAACAGCACCATGGGATTCTGGGAGTTTGGATGCCTGCATGACTCTGATTTGATTTGCCATATCAGTGACAGTGAGCTTCTGCGTAGCAGACGCCATACGAACGTGGTGACCAATATCAGCTGGCAACCCACTCAGGAACTGCTCAATCAGCACGGGATCTGAATTATCCGCAATCTTATGGCCAGACAGCGTAAGTAGGCGCTTCAAATCTGCCAGGTACGCGTCCACAGGCTCTCCATTCCGCAAAGCCCTTGACGTAAATGAACGGTAGGCAGCACCAGGCGTGGGGCAAAATGCCTGCTCCAGCGCAGATTTAATTTTTGCCGGCGATTTTTTGTCCTCGTCAGACAATTGAGTGACAACCGTAAAGGCTTGTCCACTCAGGAACAACGGAAGATGCTCAGCCTTGGCAGCGTCATCGGCCCACTTATTGGCCTTGGCTAAGACCAGAAACTTAGCCCAGAACTCATCAAAGTCGTCCTGTTTGCCCCGATACGGGCGAATAAATCCATCCAACTTCGAAGCCATCTTTCAGAACTTCCAACGGGTTTCGGCACCAAAGTTGTCGGGGAATCTCAAGCACGCACACAGAGTGCACCCGACACAACGAACACCCACTCAGTTCATATGGTTTACAAAGTTGAATGCATGATAGGATTAAAGTAACGGGAAGAGAAATAGAAAGTCGAAACTGTCTTCATGCCATTGCAATAATAATTACAACCACTGAACACCGCGTGGTTGAGAGCTCTATCTGCTCAGGGGGTGCATGCATGCGTGCACAGCACACCCACACGTAATGAGTCTGAAGCACATGCCAGTACGTCATATTAGGACGTGACGTGGCAACGTGATACTAGTACACTCCCTTTCCCTTCCGAAACCCAAGTCCTCCTTTCTACTTCACTCTCCCCTTTTCACTGCGTACTCTGCATGGCTGGCACTTCCCCAAGAAGCTAAGGACCTTTCTTCCCTCCGCCTTTTTAAGAGCCTTGTCGCGCCTTGACTTTGATTTTGTGTTTCTCATTTTGTTGCAATCACTACTTATCCATGCCGGTTCTTTTTTTTTCTCCTCCCCTTCTCCCTTCCTTGCCGTGGTTGGCTAACACCCTCTCTCTTTGTATTGGCCGGTGTTTTCACTGTGCTATGAGATGCTGTAATAAATAAATAAATAAAATAGAAGTGAGAGATGGCGGTAAACAATTCCACAGCATGGTGGCTTTGTGGGAAAAATAGAGAGGAAATATGTACGCCGTGATAGTGCAAGACAAGGACGAGGTTGAGGGTTATAAAGTACAGGGGTCGTGGCACAACCCTGTCTCAAACCATCCTGAACCCGAAAGCAGTCAGTGACATCACTACCCACTCCACCCGTCGTCGCCAGCATGTCATTGTCGTGGAAGGACGGGATGAACTGCACCATTGTATCCACTATCCAGTGCAGCAAGGGTCGACAGGGCACGCCACACGGCATCTATCTGAACCGAGTCGCATGCCGTATGCCTGGCTCACACAAGGCCGATTTTTCCGCCGACGCTCCGACACCGACTCTGACAAGAAATCGACCGGCTGTGTCGGACAGACACGGACTACCTCTACGCACACAAATTTGTCGGAAACACGTGCGACAACACGGCCCAGACCAGGCCGATCTTGAGGATGTTTTCTTACGATTCGATATCAGCCGAAGAATCAGGCTAGCGTGGACCACTCATTACGCCGGTCCACACGCATGTGCAGAATACCCACGTGCGATGTTCACACGCCTTCTCGTCAACCTGACGGACCTAAATATCCCATCAGGGCAACCATGTCGAGGCCGAAAGTCACATTGCGATTCAGGCAGCTGTTTTTCTGCTATGGTCCGCAGTCGGTCTTGTGCGATCCTGCCACACTCTCCTCACCACATCGAGTGGTGTGATGCAACGGCAGTTATTGCAGTTTTGCCGGTCACCCTTCGTAGGACTGGGGACAAGATAGGCATTACGCCAGCAGGCTGGAACAGTGGCAAACTCAGACGCACAATTAGGGGAAAGTCTGCAAGGTACTGCAGAAAGGCTAATTTTAGCAGGTACAAATTTCAAAAGTTTTCTGAATCTGGACCAATTCGCGACGAAATTTTTTAGCGATCCGAGTTTCAGAGTTTAGAAAGAAGGACGATCCGTACTGTTCTCTTCACGCAAAATTTCGATTGGCGCAGCAAAACGTTAGCGAAAACACTCCTTTCGCTAAAAATCGCTAACATACAGTCAGACCTCGCTTAACCGCACACATCCGTTTTCCACAAAAAATATCCGGATAGGCGAGGGAACCGGATAATCGAACACACACACTGTGTGTGGGCATAGCATTGCTGTAAATCGGTGACCAACAATTTTCTTCCGGATGGCGAGGGATCCGGATAAACGAGGACCGGATAAGCGAGGTCTGACTGTATCACATATCACCGTCGCTAAAATTACCCGTTTTACAGTCGCATCGCAGGAGCAGAGAACCGTGAATGAGCAATTATGCGGGTGAGGTACCACACAAGCTAGCAAAAGACGAATGTCGAAGGCCACCGTCAACACCAGGCAGCGGTAATAAGTTAGGCTGGCAACAAAGTTGTTTACTTCTTGTTGATGCCAATCAGTGAATACTTCGATCTGAAACACAGTGCAGACACTCAATAGTCAATACTGTCGTAAAGTGCTCAAGCCAGCGCTGTAGCTACTCACCCAATGATGCACAAATCTTTCCATCCAACTTGAATACTGCATTTCCCCAATTATAAGTCGCAACCCATTTTCAGGTCTGAGCCAAATTGTTTCAATACGTTCGCATAAGTAAGAAGTCACACTCGATTGTGAGTCGCACCCCCTTCTTTGTTCTTGAAGTTTAGAGTGTGGAAAGGTGCGGCTCACATTCGGTGACTACTGTACTGCTTGATCAGTCACTGATTTCAGGCCAGTATGGCAGGTTTGTTTATCCCTGATTACACGCCATGCTGGCCTTCCAGTGAAGCGGCAGGTTTGTTTATCCCTGATTACACGCCATGCTGGCCTTCCAGTGAAGCGGCAGGTTTGTTTATCCCTGATTACACGCCATGCTGGCCTTCCAGTGAAGCGGCAGGTTTGTTCATCCCTGATTACACGCCATGCTGGCCTTCCAGTGAAGCGGCGGGTTTGTTCATCCCTGATTACACGCCATGCTGGCCTTCCAGTGAAGCGGCGGGTTTGTTTATCCCTGATTACACGCCATGCTGGCCTTCCAGTGAAGCGGCGGGTTTGTTTATCCCTGATTACACGCCATGCTGGCCTTCCAGTGAAGCGGCAGGTTTGTTCATCCCTGATTACACGCCATGCTGGCCTTCCAGTGAAGCGGCAGGTTTGTTCATCCCTGATTACACGCCATGCTGGCCTTCCAGTGAAGCGGCAGGTTTGTTCATCCCTGATTACACGCCATGCTGGCCTTCCAGTGAAGCGGTCCAGTCTGGACTAGAGTGCTGGCTACTGAAATCCAACCCCTGAGCGGTGCGCCAGTTACATCGCAAACACCCAACACGGGATAGTAAACCTAGGAAATAGAGACCGCTAGAATGTGAACACATGGCTCAATGGTCTGATTTCAACACATGGCTCAATGGTCGGATTTCAGCTGCCAGCGCTGTATGTACGCTGTTTGTTGGATCCAGTTTTCCTTGGCGGTGTGTACAGCATGGCAAGCTGCATCATGAGCCTCTGTGAAAACATGCTTGTGGGCTATGGAGTCAAGACACCATCCATTGATGTTGTTCTCTCTCTCCTCTCCTCCTCCTCTTTCTCCTCCTCCTCCTCCTCCTCCTCCTCCTCCTCCTCCTCCTCCTCCCCTCTCTTTCTCTCTCTCTCTCTCTCTCTCTCTCTCTCTCTCTCTCTCTCTCTCTCTCTCTCTCACACACACACACACACACACACACACATACACACACACTCTCTCTCTCTCTCACTCACCATGTGTCTCCGTGTGTGTCTGTCCTTCAGGACTGTGTACACGTTTGTCGGTGGACCGGAGGATGTTGTAGAAGCAGCACTGCATGCTTGTAGAGTTGCTCACCAGCTGATTGATATGAGCGGGCACAAAGGTTGGTACCGTAGTGACCCACCGTTGAGCCCATTCGCTTTTAAGGCCCTCTACAGTTCTCTTTTTCCACTTAATCCTCCCTACCCGATCCCCCTTTGGTGCGTCCATGAAGCTATAAAGCCGAGACCTCTGGTCGGCTGAGCTTAATGAGGCCCACCACCACACTCCATTATTCACCCCAGTGTCTGGAGATATGTGGACTTTGTAAAAAAAGAAAAAAAAACAGACTACGTACATATAACATCCTGTACAAAATCGTATAAAACCTAAAAGGCAACATTTTTTCAAGCCTGCATGCAGACTACGTTTTACACGCAGCACCCAGGTAACCTCTGACCCTGCGCTATTGCGCAAGGGGTGCGTGAAAGCAGTAAGCAGTCGTAAAAAGTCGTTCAAATGCGTGTCACTACGGTCCGCCCAAGGGCCGAGGGCTGCTGGCAAGGGCAAGATTCAGCCATCACGACAGACAGACAGAGCGTGCTTGATTTGATTTCTTACTGCACGAAGCAACATATTAGGAAAGGTGGTAGGTTGAAAGGTCGACTTATTCCCCCAAAATGACGTAAATCGGTCCTGATGGCCTGATTATGCCCGCGATGGGGAGCTAGCGCCTATTGGCCATGGCACGCATGTACAGCCTGTGGCTGGGGAGCTACCGCCTACTGGAAATGGCAAGCATGTATAGCCATGGCATGCATATACAGCCATGGCATGCATATACAGCCATGGCATGCATATACAGCCCTGTGGCTAGGGAGTTTGGTTTAGCCGGCAATGTCAGTAAGACACGATTTTAACCCTTTATGGACCAATTAAATTAGCGTATAAATGCGGCATTCGATCGGCGTGCATCTCAGCCGTGGATTAAACGAAAAAACCGAAAAGCGATGAAGACCGCCCGATGCAGTAGTACTGTACATCTATATCCACTCATGGTCGTCAAGTCTTTTTGTTCCACTGAACCAACATTTTCTTGAGTGCAGTGACGCCTTAGAACGTGAATAAAGGAGTCGCGATGTTTTCGGCTGTTGTTTCCAGAGTAAGTCACATTATCCAGTTTAGGTACAGTCGAACCTCTTTAGGACGAACACCAAGGGACCGATGGTATTTGTTTGTAATAATGGGAGTTCTCCTTATCCATATTTTATACCCAGTGAATACACAGTGATTTATCCAATAGACCTAAGAACACTAATTCTTCTAAAGCGAAAGTTTGTGTTGTTAGTGTTCTTCTTAACCAGGTTTCACTGTATTAACTCTGAGTAGCTGTGGTGTGTAGCAATCACTGGCTTGCTATCGTGTTGTCATGCTTTTTGACGTCGAGGTGGCTTTAAAGCTGTCGGCTGCTGCTGCTGATGTGTTGCAACAGCTCTGAGTGACCCCGTGTTCGTTGTGCTTCTGTGACTCCGTATCGGCCTTGTCAAGGCGAACACCCACGGCTGGGAGCGCTGGACGTTTGTCCATTCATCCCGGTTGCCAACGCCTGTATGGCGGATGCGGTCAGGTGCGCCAACGAGTTTGCCAGGCGGCTGGCTGCGGACTTGCACGTACCAGTGTACTTGTACCAGGTAAGTGTGTTTGTGAACGCCGCAGCACTACGTGTTACTCCTGCTAGGGCTAAGCAATATATGTACAGTCAGTATCGCCTATAGCGTTGGTGTTTGATTTTGAGCATTTTATCACTATAAGCGATATATTACTATGACCGATACTGCATGCAATGTATGCGAGTGGGGTGTCAAACGACTCAGCGCGCCGTCCACATACGCACTACATACATTGTACATGTACAATGTCATGTAGCTGGCTGTAGCTCCTGACACACAAAATCAGCATTTCCTCATGATGGAGGCATATTTTGGCAACTTGTACGAGCAAAACTCACCAAACAACACTCACTGGACAAGTTCTTCACGAAGAAGTAACACCCTGTTCTCCTCTGACACCGCTTGATTTTACATCAATCACTATAACCGATGCAAAAATAATGTAATAAAGGTCTTTTGAAATATGAATTTTATCACTATAGGCGATATATTACTATAGACGATTATTACTATACGCGATAACTGTGTATGCTTAGTTATGGCAAATGAAAATGAATTTGAGAAATTGATCACTATATCCGGTATATTACTATAGCCGCCAACCTTATAGGCGATACGGACTGTACTTCAGCTAGGGCTGAGCAATACTTCAGCTAGGGCTGAACAATACTTCAGTCAGGGCTGAGCAATACTTCAGTCAGGGCTGAGCAATACTTCAGTCAGGGCTGAGCAATACTTCAGCTAGGGCTGAACAATACTTCAGCTAGGGCTGAGCAATACTTCAGTCAGGGCTGAGCAATACTTCAGTCAGGGCTGAGCAATACTTCAGTCAGGGCTGAGCAATACTTCAGTCAGGGCTGAGCAATACTTCAGTCAGGGCTGAGCAATACTTCAGCCAGGGCTGAACAATACTTCGGTCAGGGCTGAGCAATACTTCAGTCAGGGCTGAGCAATACTTCAGTCAGAGCTGAGCAATACTTCAGTCAGGGCTGAGCAAGACTTCAGCCAGGGCTGAGCAATACTTCAGTCAGGGCTGAGCAATACTTCAGTCAGGGCTGAGCAATACTTCTTCAGCTAGGGCTGAGCAATACTTCAGTCAGGCCTGAGCAATACTTCAGTCAGGACTGAGCAATACTTCAGTCAGGGCTGAGCAATACTTCAGTCAGGGCTGAGCAATACTTCAGCTAGAGCTGAGCAATACTTCAGCTAGGGCTGAGCAATACTTCAGCTAGGGCTGAGTATTGCTCAGGGCTGAGCAATACTTCAGCTAGGGCTGAGCAATGCTTCAGCTAGGGCTGAGCAATACTTCAGTCAGGGCTGAGCAATACTTCAGCTAGGGCTGAACAATACTTCAGCTAGGGCTGAGCAATACTTCAGTCAGGGCTGAGCAATACTTCAGTCAGGGCTGAGCAATACTTCAGTCAGGGCTGAGCAATACTTCAGTCAGGGCTGAGCAATACTTCAGCCAGGGCTGAACAATACTTCGGTCAGGGCTGAGCAATACTTCAGTCAGGGCTGAGCAATACTTCAGTCAGAGCTGAGCAATACTTCAGTCAGGGCTGAGCAAGACTTCAGCCAGGGCTGAGCAAGACTTCAGCCAGGGCTGAGCAATACTTCAGTCAGGGCTGAGCAATACTTCAGTCAGGGCTGAGCAATACTTCTTCAGCTAGGGCTGAGCAATACTTCAGTCAGGCCTGAGCAATACTTCAGTCAGGACTGAGCAATACTTCAGTCAGGGCTGAGCAATACTTCAGTCAGGGCTGAGCAATACTTCAGCTAGAGCTGAGCAATACTTCAGCTAGGGCTGAGTATTGCTCAGGGCTGAGCAATACTTCAGCTAGGGCTGAGCAATGCTTCAGCTAGGGCTGAGCAATACTTCAGCCAGGGCTGAGCAATACTTCAGCCAGGGCTGAGCAATACTTCAGCCAGGGCTGAGCAATGCTTCAGCCAGGGCTGAGCAATACTTCAGCTAGGGCTGAGCAATACTTCAGCCAGGGCTGAGCAATGCTTCAGCTAGGGCTGAGCAATACTTCAGCTAGGGCTGAGCAATACTTCAGCTAGGGCTGCGCCGAACATGAGATTGTCCATAACAAACTTTCTTTAGTAAAATAACGAACGAATTTGCGAACACGGTCTTCGACAATTTGCATTATTTAACCCCAGACACGGAACCGTGTGTAATGAGTCATGAGTAAGATCAAGAGTAAATAACCCCCCAGAGTGTGCAACGCCGATCCAGCTCTGTGTAGGGTCTTGGTCAAGCGGAATCGGATCTTCTGATGTCATGCGTACACTCCACACCAGCCCAAGGCCGGTCTCGAGGCAGGGCACCATTGTTTTGATCCGAGAGTACCCGCGACTCCCCGGGTTCCCCTCAGATGTGTACGGTATTATGACGCAAAGATCCGATTCCGCTCGACCAAGACCCTTTGCACAGCTGGATCAGGCGTTGCACACTCTGGGGGGTTATGTACTCTTGGTAAGATCAACTACCCCCCCCCCCCCCCCCCCCCCCCCCTTTCGCTGACAGGATACTGTTTTCGTGTGTGTGTGTGTGGGGGGGGGGGGGGGGGGGTGCGTGTGTGGGCTCTGTGTGGGCTCACAGGATGCTGTAACTTATTTCACGTATGTGTGTGTGTGTGTGTGTATGTGTGTGTGTGTGTGTGTGTATGTGTGTGTGTGTGTGTGTGTGTGTGCTATGTGTGTGCTATGTGTTGTCTGGCAGGATGCTGCAGTGAAAGGCCCTCACCGTGTCTCGCTGCCATCAATCCGGGCTGGGGAATATGAAGGTCTTGCTGCCAAGGTAAGTTGGAATGCTGCAGTTGCCATCCATTGCCGTACCGTTGCACCTATGAGAGACCTGTTGCTATTCATGTCGCCAAGAGCACAGAACTGGCCAGAGTTGTTGCAGCTGGTGAGTAGCTGCTGCAACTCTTTTTTTTCGGAATGACGTCGTTTTCATGGTGTAGCCAGCTCCTGCATTCATTGATTTGGAGATTGCTTTCACACCCTGCTGTTATGGCGTGGTCCATCATGTCTTATTGTATTTGGCCTTCGGAGTAGGTTTTGCATCTTAGTGTTCAGTTGAGTATTTGTTCCATCTTTTCAACTCCAATCGATCGACAATTTTGTTGCTGATTCCGCAAAAAAACAAGAACCCTGACATGTACATGCATTTGGAGGTGCAAAGTTTAGCTATGCTGCTTGTGTATACGTGTGTGTGTGTGTACATGTGTGTGTGTGTGTGTGTGTGTGTGTGTGTGTGTGTGTGTGTGTGCGTGCGTGTGTGTGTGTGTGTGTGTATGTGTGTGTGTGTGTGTGTGTGTGTGTGTGTGTGTGTGTGTGTGTGTGTGTGTGTGTGTGCTTGTGTGTATACGTGTGTGTGCTTGTGTGTGTGCTTATGTGTGTGTGTGTGTGTGTGTTTGAAAAAGGATTAAACCCGACATAAATTACTGCTCTCATCACTCTCAACATTGCATGTGAACCATGGCAATCCTTCGCATGTTATAACATGCCTCACACGGACGCACACACACATGCACACGCACATACACACACGCGTGCGCGCGCGCGTGCGCACACACACACAAAACACACCCACGCACACACACACACACACACACACACACACGCACTCACACACTTCTATGGAGCGAGTTCCTACACGATAGCATACACATTCTGTCCGCTGAATTGGTACCGTTGAAGCACAGGTCCCGCAGGTCCGAAAATTCTGGAGACAGCGGATTTGAGTTTCTGCTTTCAATTGCGCTGCATTCTTTTACAAAGCAATGAATAAAGCAATTAAAGCCGACATAATACCATGATGAATGAAGCTGAAGACACCACTGCAGCTGTACTTATGGTTGATAAATATGGTGGTAAAGACACACCTGGCAATATGGCGGTAAACACTGTGCCAGAACTTTGCAGCCTAGAGAGCGTGTGTGGGCAGGCGTGTGTTTACCGCCATATTGCCAGGTGTGTCTTTACCACCATATTTATCAACCATAATACCATGATGGACTAATAAAATAATAAAAATATATTATGTGAAGTCGAATTCAGAAATGTTTCTCTTCGATGGTCATCAGTGACCCTACATCGAGTAATGTACATGTATATGAGAAAACAAACCAAAAAAATTGTTTTAGTCATTGCTTTGCTGAAACTCTTTTCTCCGAAACGGCTCTTTGCATTCTTTTATTATTTTGCTTTTCCCAATGCAGATCAAGCTGGCTGACTGGGTTCCAGACTACGGCCCCGCTGAGTTTGTGCCAAGCTGGGGTGCCACAGTGTGCGGTGCTCGGCCATTTCTTATCGCCTACAATGTCAACATGCTCTCGACCAAAGAGCAGGCACACCGCGTGGCCTTGGATATACGCGAGCAGGGGCGTTCAAAGGATGAGGTATGCTGTACGCGCTGCTTAGCAGGGGTGTTCAAGGGATGAGGTATGCTGTATGCGCTGCTTAGCAGGGCATTCAAGGGATGAGGTATGTTGTACGCGCTGCTTAGCAGGGGCGTTCAAGGGATGAGGTATGTTGTATACGCTGCTTAGCAGGGGCGTTCAAGGGATGAGGTATGTTGTACACGCTGCTTTTGTCCCTGCCATCCATTATTATTGCCGGAGGAAGGATTTTTCTTTGTTATCCACACGGTCTGTTTACCGCGGCAGTCTCTAAGGACTTCCCGTACACATCGTCAAGCGTAGATAAGCTCCCAAGAGTGTTTACTAGTAACACCGTGAAAACTTACGTCACCTGTTTCAAGTACGATTTGTACGGCATACAACGAAGGTTAGCGTGCGCTATCCGACTATCTGCCATGATCATGCTGGGGAGTTGGATAAAGCGGAGTAAATTTCTGTCAAGGAGAGCTATTTTGGTATTTTTATTACTCAGCTGCTCGCTCAAATCGGTTTAGAAACATGCAACGGAAACACTATACCACGTGATGTGTGTTTTCACCATCGGCGAACCCCATAGACAGGGTATCAGGAGCTGCACACTTTTGGTAGCTTATACTCTTGACATCGTCCCAAACAACGTAAGAGTTGAAAGTTTTTAGTTGATCGTTGGTAGTTTAACAAGTCTAAGCTCAGAACATATAATGTAACACTTTGCGGGCACAAAGTTCAATGACCCCTGACATTACACCCCCAATGTTTCATTTCTCCAGAACAGAAGAGAGAATGACGGTTTAGGTTACGCTTGAATGGGTTTTTTTCTCTTTAATGAATCGTTAAACTTTGCTCCTCGTGAGAGATTCTACTCGTACGGTAAGGACTCTTTGGCACTGGGCCTCATTCATAATCTAAATACTGTAAAAGCCATTATTCTAACCAGGCGCATATATCACGATTTCCCAGAATTGACTGGTTTACGTGTACCAAAGGTAACGATTCTCACTCATTCTCAACGCTCAATAGGACAGTATATGTATCGATTTCTGTATAACGATTTCTATTTTAACGACAGATTTCTCCTCGTTAGAGTTAGCACTTCGTTATATACATGGCTTTTACAGTAACAGGGATTATCCCCTCAAGAGTCCGATGTGGCTTTCGTCAGTGTGCTATGTAGCCTTGGTCAGTGGAAACCAATTCGTACATGTACATGTAGATGCTTGAGTAGAGAACTGGATACCCAATGCCTGTGTGTGTGTGTGCGCGTGTGCGCGTGCGTGCGTGTGTGTGTATATGTGTGTGTGTGTGTGTGTGTGTGTGTGTGTGTGTGTGTGTGTGTGTGTGTGTGTGTGTGTGTGTGTGTGTGTGTGTGTGTGTGTGTGTGTGTGTGTGTGTGTGTGTGTGTGTGTGTGTGTGTGTGTGTGTGTGTGTGTGTGTGTGTGTGTGTGTGTGTGTGTGTGTGTGTGTGTGTGTGTGTGTGTGTGTGTGTGTGTGTGTGTGTGTGTGTGTGTGTGTGTGTGTGTGTGTGTGTGTGTGTGTGTGTGTGTGTGTATGTACATTCATATGATGTATGCGTGTTTGTGTGCGCGCGTATGTACATGCGTATGATGCGTGTATGTGCGTGTATGTGTGTGTATGTGTATGTTTCTCTCCGCCGGTGTACAGCCGGGCAAGTTCAAGTCCTGCCGGGCTATTGGTTGGTACTTAAGTGATGAGAACATGGCGCAAGTATCTATCAACCTGACTGACTTCACAGTCACCTCCATGCACCAAGTCTATGAGGAGTGCAAGGCCATCTCACAGGTACGACTACTAGAAACCGCACAGTATATATACGCGTCACTAAATTTTCGCGATCTCTCAGAACCTGTTTCACACAGTTATACACCACTACTCGAAAACGGTCTCTTGGCTACAAATTCTTCCAAAAATGATAAAAGCCAAATTTTCGGGCCAGGCCCGTCTTCAGGAATAAACCCTTAGGAAGGGTAGTAGTAATATTTCCACTAAAACTCACCCACATGGTGCCCGGTAGACCGAGGTGCCCGTAACTCGGAGGTCCGGATGAGAGACGTATGAGTGTAGTACCATTTTCAAAGTTAAACCTAAAGAAACGTCTCGGGCAGCTTTGTTTGAACGAATCTCGTTGTTTGTTGTGCTGTGCTCTTGTTCTGTGTGTGTGTGTGTGTGTGTGTGTGTGTGTGTGTGTGTGTGTGTGTGTGTGTGTGTCTGTGTGTGTGTCTGTGTCTGTGTGTATGTCTGTGTGTGGGTGTGGGTGGGTGCGTGTGTGTGCGTGCGTGTGTTTTGTGCTCAGTCGTTGAGTCTGGCGGTGGTTGGCTCACAGCTAGTTGGTCTAGTTCCCCTGCAGGCCATGCTGGACAGTGCCAGGCACTACATGCACAGCGAGAACCTCTTCATCACCGACGAGGCACAGCAGATACGCCTGGTTAGTTTTGCATCTTTATTACTGTAAAAGCCAGATATATAACGAAGTGCTAACTCTAACGAGTTAACGAGGAGAAATCTGACGTTAAAATAGAACTCGTTATACAGAAATCGATACATATACTGTCCTATTGAGCGTTGAGAAAAGGTGAGAATCGTTACCTTTGGTACACGTAAACCAGTCAATTTTGGGAAATCGTTATATATGCACCTCGTTAGAATAATGGCTTTTACAGTATCGCGATAGCCAGTGGCCAATACGAGATACTAGTGTGAGAGAGGAGAAATAGTGAGGAAGAGTTGGGTGAGCAGGGATTAATGACTACTTAAGTGTACGGGCAGGGTTGGTCGTTACATGAGCATACAGAGTTCTGCAACAGCAGGGATATCTGGGATTTGAAGAGAGTACGAGAAGGGATTTCGCGAAGCTGGGTGGGCAAGCAATTAAAGTAATGAAGTGCCTTGTACAGGGGAGAATGGAGACAGCGATCAGTCCGCGGAGTTGGCAAGTGCCAAGTACGAGAGCGACATGAGTTATACGAGGGTTGCACGCTGCGAGGGGTATGCAGCGAGAGTATACGTGGTGTAGTTGTTGTTGTGGTCTTAGAGCCGATCCCCGTCTTGCCTAGTTGACCCCCAACCCTATCGCGTACTGTAGAATAGCTAATTATAGCGGGTAACATTTTTGGTGTTTTCCGAGTCAGGGCCAATTCGCGATGAAATAGTATTTCATAGCGAATGGGCCCTGATTCTTCTTTTTTTTTAACCTCTTTAGCACGACGCTACCTGAGCGCGCCCCACGTCAACACCTGTAAAAGTCGCATTTTCCCATGAAAGTACTAGCTGCTCAAGGATCGATAACTTTACCTTCCCTTGGACGAATTCCACGATCTTGAGCTTCCTGGAAAGGTCGTGAGACGAGGGGCAAACTGGTATCAAACCCAGCTCGGAGCGAAACCAAAACCCCGTGCTACAGTCTGGCAAACTTCATCCACGCGCTCGACAGACTTGAGCACGGCCAAAACTAACCAAGCTCAAATATTCAGCTGCCATTTCGGTCTCCTTGCTCGTATCGAGCTCAAATTTTTTTCTGAGGACTCACGGGATCCACTACCATCATTTGAATCTTGTTTCCATGGCAGCAGGTAGCGCAAAAAGGATCCATGATGGAAAATACGCGTTCTGCAGACTGCGCAAAAAAATCGAGTTGAAATTTGCCGTGTCGAGTCGCATATCTCAACAACCGGTAGTCGCATCGCTTCGGCGATTGTTTCTATCGCCAGCTGAGAGTTTTCTCTTGCAGATACATGTTTCGATTGTGAGAATCGACCAAGTATTGAGTGAGTTGCGATAGTTTGAACAAGTCACTATGGACTCAACACGGACCCCACGACTATGAGATGCAGGTTCACTGTACAGTGTACAGCGCGCGTCGTACTAGTACGACGGCCGTGGGGCATGCAACTCATGTGCGTCGTACTAGTACGACGCTCGCGCTAAAGAGGTTAAACTCTGAAACTCGGATCGCTAAAATATTATTTTAGTGATCCGTGTTTCAGAGTTAAAAAAAGGAGATCAATAGTGCTGCACTGTACATGCAGAATTTCGATTGGCGCGGCAAAACCTTAGCAAAAGCGCTCCTTTCGCTGAAATTGCTAAAAATATCACTGGCGCTAACATTAGCAAGTTTACAGTACCGTCACCTGTCACTTTGAATGTACATGTAGCAGTGAACGAGTTTATTTGATAGAGAGGTCATGCGATTACGTCGTCATTTGAAATGCTTTGTATGGTGTGGCAATGTGCTCACAAAAGCAATGGTTATGTGATTACGTCATCGATGCAATGTTTTGTATGGTGTGGCAAAGCAATGGTTATGCGATTACATCATCATTTGCAATGTTTTGTATGGTGTGGCAATGTACTCACAAAGCATTGAATGGTTATGCGATTACGTCATCATTTGCAATGTTTTGTATGGTGTGGCAAAGCAATGGTTATGCGATTACGTCATCGTTGCAATGTTTTGTATGGTGTGGCAAAGCAATGGCTATGCGATTATGTCATCATTTGCAATGTTTTGTGTGGTGTGGCAAAGCAATGGTTATGCGATTACGTCATCATTTGCAATGTTTTGTATGGTGTGGCAAAGCAATGGTTATGCGATTACGTCATCATTTGCAATGTTTTGTATGGTGTGGCAAAGCAATGGTTATGCGATTACATCATCATTTGCAATGTTTTGTATGGTGTGGCAAAACAATGGTGTGCTAGTGCTGGTTTGCCCTGCTCCGAACTACGGTGAAACCTGTCTAAGACGACCACTCAAGGGACCTTCAAAATATGGTCTCTTATACCAGGCGTGGTTGTGATGAGTTGGGAATGCAATAAATTCTTATACCAGGTGGTCTCCTTATCCAGGGTCATTTGACTGGAAATAGCATCCCTTGGGTCCTGGTTTCAGTGGTCTTCTGGGACAGGTGGTCGCCTTGACAGGTTTTACTGTAGCATCATTTGCCAGGTTTACCACTTCATACAAGTTTGCTGTTCTAACCGCAGTACAAACCAAGCGGTGTTGGCCACTCCTAATAAATTGACTACCGTATTTTCCGCAGCATAAGCCGCACTTTGAACACTCAAAATTCACCCCCAGAAAGGGGGTGCGGCTTACACTCTGAGGATCAAATTAACGGCGATGAACAGGATCGATGTCTGTATTCAGTGGCAAAAATGGGGGGGGGGGGGGGTGAGGCTTATACTCCAGTGTGGCTTATACTCAAAATCTCAGTTCAAACTAACAGTGTTTGCCACCCAGCATGACACTGCTACTGATTCGCACACTGTGCAAAACGCATGCATGCGATGGATAACCTGCAACATTATTTACCTATCCGAATCTAGATTTAATAGTCGCCTGTAGTTTTGTTGTGTCTGCCCTGGGGATTAGCCATGCTGGAAGATCTGGTATTGTGTTCGCCCTGAGGTTGAGCCATGCTGGAAGATCTGGTATTGTGTTTGCCCTGAGGTTGAGCCATGCTGGAAGATCTGGTATTGTGTTTGCCCTGAGGTTGAGCCATGCTGGAAGATCTGGTATTGTGTTCGCCCTGAGGTTGAGCCATGCTGGAAGATCTGGTATTGTGTTCGCCCTCAGGTTGAGCCATGCTGGAAGATCTGGTATTGTGTTCGCCCTGAGGTTGAGCCATGCTGGAAGATCTGGTATTGTGTTCACCCTGAGGTTGAGCCATGCTGGAAGATCTGGTATTGTGTTCGCCCTGAGGTTGAGCCATGCCGGAAGATCTGGTGTTGTGTTCGCCCTCAGGTTGAGCCATGCCGGAAGATCTGGTATTGTGTTCGCCCTCAGGTTGAGCCATGCTGGAAGATCCGGTATTGTGTTCGCCCTCAGGTTGAGCCATGCTGGAAGATCCGGTATTGTGTTCGCCCTGAGGTTGAGCCATGCTGGAAGATCCGGTGCCGTTGCGAGGACGTTGACAGAATACACACCATGTCATGTGACGATCGGAACTGTGGAATGTGTGTGTAAGAGAAAAGGCAGCATGGGAGTGTCTCCATTTTTCCAGAAGAATGAGGGCGACTGCCTTTCCAGGGGCATCGCACACGGTACGGTCACTACGGTATTGCCCGTACCACTATTTGCCCCAAGTACCCCATGAATCAATAATATGCACTGACTTGGGCTCTAGATTTCCAAATTTTTCGGCTCAGCCCCCCCCCCCCCACACACATGAGTAAATTGTACTTCAAATGGCTGACCGTACCTCACTAAATTACATTCTGACACCCCTATTTTCCAAGCTGTTTTTGGGGTATCGGTTTCAGCTGGAGACGCTTTGTCATGTGTTGGTGACTCTGTTTCGTTTGCTTTGTTTCTTAACTGCTTTTCTTGCCACACCAGGCTGTTGAACGCCTTGGCCTGGACTCTGTTGAGAAATTCCGGCCCGAGGAGCGCATCATCGAGTAGGTGTTTAACCAGTAGCACTATGTGTGTGTGTGTGTGTGTGTGTGTGTCTGTCTGTCTCTGTGTGTTTGCGTGTGTGTATTCGTGCCCATCTTGATCTGTTTCAATCAGAATCAGATCTGCTATCGTTGCTATAAAGAGAAAATCTGTGGGTGCACATCCAGTGCATTTGCAGGTTTGCGTGCTTCTCTTGCGACGGGCGTATACATGGTACATGGTACATGGTATCTGTGCCCATCTTACGATGTGGATGTGTTCATGCGTGTTTGTGTGTATGTGCATCTGCATGTGTGTACATGTATGTATGTGTATGTGCATGTGCATGTATGTGTGTGTGTGGGTGTGCCTGTACCTATGCGCGTGTGTGTTCTGTGCCGTAGGTACGTCGTCGGGCTGAACAAACGCGGTCCGCTACTCTCTTCCACTCTGGATGGCTTTGTCAGAGAGCTGGGCTCTCGCTCCAGTGCACCCGGCGGGGGATCAGCAGCAGCTGTAATAGCTGCTATGGTGCGTTACTATGTTTACAGTCCACACTGCTACATAGCATTGCTAGGAAAGTGATAACATTGCACGGTACTGACCAACAGTGCTCGTACTGATGTTCTACGAGTACAACAACCTACCAATCAGCTGTTATAGCTGATATGGCATGCTCACAGTCCACAGTGCTACAGACCTTTAACTGAATACCACAGAACCATCACATGCTGCACAGAGGGGGCGATGGCATATTGGATGGAAGTTGGGCCATTGCTAGAAAAGGACCAAGGGTCTACGAGTTACGCTGTAATGTCCACTAATACCACCGGTTATTTGGCAATCCGCTCATGCGATAGCATTGCACGACACTGACCAACAGTTCTGACTTTCTACTACTAACTGACAATCAGTTGTTATAGCTCCCATTGTATGCTCACAGTCCACAGTGCAACAGACACAGCACTTCCCGGGGGGGGGGGGGGGGTATTAACTGCATCGGGGTCTGAGCCGCAACCCCCCCCCCCCCCCCCATTTCAGGTGCAAAATTCGTTTTTTCGTTGACATTCGGTGTATAGGCCGCACATCAGACTTTGAATTTTTAGCAACCTAACTGCCATATATGGGGATCAGTACATACAAGACGTTACCAATGGTCAAACAAGTTGAGAAGCACGACTTAAGTTCTACAGAAGTTGCTCAGTTTGTCCTTCACTCTGTACGGACAACATGTAGAAGATTGGTGATACTAGTGCAACGATGGATTGCAGCGCATACGAAGTAGCTGAATGACACCACACATGTATTGTATGCATGGAGTGCTGTAGCTCTGGTCGATTCACACCCAGCACTCCGAGTCTAAGCCGCAGGGGCGATTATTGCGATTTTTATACGTGTTTAAAGTGCGGCTAACACCCTGGAAAAAGCGGAACCCGTGCAGCTATTGCGGCTGCAATGGTGCCGTATTGAAACGTGTTCGGAGTCCGGCGTTTAAACATACAGTGTTGTTTCGGGGGCTGAAATCTGTCCTGGCGTGTGAACATGACGCGTTGGCTGTATGTTTGTTGTTTGTGTTGCGGCGGCACAGGGAGCTGGCTTGGGAGCGATGACTGGCTGGATGACGTACGGCAAGAGGAAGTTTGAGAGCTTGGACAAGCAGATGAGAGCGGCCATCGGTCCCCTGGACGCGGCCATGAAGGAGCTTCTTCCTCTCGTCGATGCCGACACGGACGCTTTCAAGGCGTACACGGTAAGGTGATCACTGATCAGTACAATCGTATGTACCGTGTTTTCCCGAGTGCAAGCCGCACTGGGGTACGCTCTGCAAGCAGAAGCATTCGGCGGGGATTTAATTTCGTCGCTTTCCGTCCAAGGAATTGTCGGACTACCTGTAAATTTTATGCAGGACTAAAATTAATGTCGATTTGGCTGGCCTTTCACTACGTTTCAAGATCCGTGGACGAAAATTTCTACTAGACAGACCGTCTTTCTTTGGAGCTGGACGAAATTGTTCACAGACTAGATTTTCCACTTTTACAGTAAGCCACACTGAAGTATAAGCCACACTGGAGTATAAGCCACACTGGAGTATAAGCCACACTAGAGTATAAGCCACACTAGAGTATAAGCCACACTGGTATATAAGCCACACTGGAGTATAAGCCACACTAGAGTATAAGCCGCACTGGAGTATAAGCTACACTGGAGTATAAGCCGCACTGGAGTATAAGCTACACTGGTATATAAGTCTCACTGGAGTACAAGCCACACTGTTTGTCTACCAGACAAACCGTCTTTCTTTGGAGTTTGACGAAATTGTTCACCGACTAGATTTTCCGCTTTTACAGTAAGCCGCACTGGAGTATAAGGTGCGGTTCACACGAGGTACAAACTGCGTATTACTGATTGCAGTACAAAACTGCTTATATCCAGCATGTGTTCACACGGTGTATGTGAAAGGTTGCGTAAAAAACGCGCGGATCCAAAAACCATAGAAACTCGCTGCCATACGCGTGGTCTCATCTCAAAAATATTAGAACAAAGTTTAGTTTGCGTCTGAATAGTGAATAGTGTTGTTCATCGCATATCAGCCCACGACTGATTGGACTATTCTTGAAGCCACAGTTGTCTGCAGAGCTAGCTGCACTTCTTTTGCTGATACAGTAGTTGTAGTTGTTCGTTTGAAGTTGTTGTTTAGTCACTCACGGGCGACGCCGGCGCTGAAGATGAATTTGCGAGAAATCCGCAGAAGAAGAAAGCTGAGAAAAGCGTTTTGCATGGCTATGTCCATGGACATGTTTGGAGGACGTAGTACGGCGGGCCAAACCTCAGTTGTCAGCCCACTCCATGTGGTCAGTCACAGACCGACTGGTATATGGTGGATCCATTTGTTGTTGCTCACCCACATTGCTTTCCCCTGTGAGCAACCTCTGGCAAGAGGCCATCAGATATGGACAGCTCACCCGGAGAACGAATATGACATTTGCAGTGGCTTCTGGGAGAAGGAAGTATGTGGAACCTGGGAAGCTGTCAAGCAATCTTCACGTATGTGGTGGGAAACGTCCTGGCGAATCCAGTTCCGCATGGATCGTGCCACATTTGTTTTCATTCTGCAACGGTACGAACATCTGGCTGGTCAAGCAGGAGACCAACATGCGGCGGACGATCCCACCAGCAAAGCGACTTGCAGTTTTGCTTTACTACATCGGTCATGGTGAAACGTATGCAGAGATCACTGCCCTGTTTCACCTTGGCCAAAGTACTGTGGCTGAGATCGTCCATGAAGGTGTTGCCAACCTTGCGAAGGCAGTGTCAAGGGACAGCATCCTGTTTCCTGTGGGGAAACAGCTCACCAGAACCATGCGACGATTCGAGGAACTGTCTGGCCTTCCATACTGTGGTGGGGCCATTGGTGGTACGTTCACGAAGATCACCAAGCCTGACAGGTTTGGTGATCTCTTTTGGTGCTACAAACAGTTCTCTGCTGTTTTGCTCTTTGTTTGCGTTTGTGGATGTAGGTGCACCAGGCTCTGTTGGAGATGCTGCTGTTTTTAATAACTCTGCTCTTAAAGCCAAATTGCTCAGTGGAGAATGGCTCAATTATCGCTAGGGGTGAACCAATTATACCGAATATTCGAATACTCGAATATTCGATCGGAGAAAATCAGAGTACTCGAACTCGGGATCTCAGTGGCAACTTTCACCCCTAATTGTCGCACATGGACATGTGGGAATGGTGACGTTCGCCCGTATGTTGTTGGAGATAGTGCCTTTGGCCTGAGTTCATGTGTAATGAAAATTTACAGTGACCCCAATCTAGCGCCAGCTCAAGCAAGTTTCAACTATGCTCGAATAAGGACACGGCGTGTAGTGGAGTATGCTATAGGGAAATTGAAAGAGAGGTTTCGTGTCGTTGCTGAGAGCAACAGCAAGGATCCAAAGTTTGTAAACAAGGTCAACATGCTGTGCTGTGCAATGCACAATAGCATTGAGCGCAAGGAAACGGCCTGCCTTCCTCACTATCCCAACTATGCACCGCAGCCTCTAGTTGCAATGAATCCATCTGCTGCCTCAGTATGTAGGGATTCTTTTTTATTTATTTTATTTTATACGAAAGTCCACTATATTCCCGAATATGTGCGAGAAGTGGTGGCGGGGCCAGGCTGCTCTGCCGACCTCAAAGGTCTCGGCGTCTATGCAGATAAAACGCGCCATAGCATAGGGGATGCTTTAGCTCAATTTCATGGTTTGCAGTAGGTCTAGAACAGACGCACTGTGTCAATCTGGATGCGTCAGGATCATAAGTGATCTTTCTGGACTTTTAATCGTACCTTTGGTCAGTTGAGTTATGCTTGGGTTTGATTGTAGACAGGTAGAGGCACACATATGCTTCGTGCAAATTGAGTTGGGAATTTAGCTAGGCTAATTATAATATGTAAGGAGGATCGGCCAGCCGTCAAACATTCATGCATGTTTGCAGTATCAGTTTTAACTTAGCACACTAATCACTCAGTCCCACTAGACATGGGTATACCTGTGCACATGTACAATGTTGCTCAGTGAATCGACTGAAATCCGACCAAGTCACTAGGGTCTACCGTGGCCCCAAAGCAGCGTACAGTAGAGTTTTCACACGTCTGGGACCTTTACCGCGCCTGACGCGACACAGGCTCACTCGAATTTCTGCAAGCTCCAACAATTCTTGAGGTTTGAATATTGCGTACAATGTTCAGTGGTTACTATCAACTGCACTGACCTGAATGGGTTTGTGAAACATGGAATAACAAGTACCCATTGATACTTTGCATACGATACGGAAGAAAGAAAGAATCAGAAACCTATGGCACAATGGCAGGAAGGCACAGAACGATACCCAAACGGCTAATTGATACATGCCTGCACAAACGATACTGCTCAACAGTTCATATCTACTGCATTGATCTACTGAATGAGCTTAGAAAACCCACAAAATGCGCACGTTTTGTTACTTTGGATGCGGCAAAGAAGGAAAACAAACAGAGGGGTATGGAGCAATGGCACAGGGAAAAGGCAAAAATAAGGCACGGAAAATAACCCAAAGGAAACATGCTAAATGTCAAGATGACCTGCATGTTCAGCTCCAGCAGGTATGGATGAGGTCAAGTTGCATAGGCATAAACACACGCACGCATACACACACAAAAGGTCAAAGAATATTCTAACGCACCCTTTAACTCTAGTTACTCTGGCCAAGACTATAATGTCATACAGACACACACATGGCACATCAGCAGGCACGGAATTTCAATACGGTTGTCTCAGGATTCGTCCTTGTCAGAAAGGAGCTCCTTGAACAGTTTTGCCTGAAATTGCATTTGTGACTGAATAAGGTTTTGCGTGACTTGTTGCTGCTGGTTGATCAGTACTGCAAGGAACTGCTGCTGGTTGTTTTGAAGGGTGGTTTGCACACTTATCAGCTTGTCCACAGCTGACTCGGCCACAGTACTGCAAGGAACTGCTGCTGGTTGTTTTGAAGGGTGGTTTGCGCACTTATCAGCTTGTCCGCAGCTGATTCGGCCACAGTACTGCAAGGAACTGCTGCTGGTTGTTTTGAAGGGTGGTTTGCGCACTTATCAGCTTGTCCACAGCTGATTCGGCCACAGTACTGCAAGGAACTGCTGCTGGTTGTTTTGAAGGGTGGTTTGCGCACTTATCAGCTTGTCCACAGCTGATTCGGCCACAGTACTGCAAGGAACTGCTGCTGGTTGTTTTGAAGGGTGGTTTGCGCACTTATCAGCTTGTCCACAGCTGATTCGGCCACAGTACTGCAAGGAACTGCTGCTGGTTGTTTTGAAGGGTGGTTTGCGCACTTATCAGCTTGTCCACAGCTGATTCGGCCACAGTACTGCAAGGAACTGCTGCTGGTTGTTTTGAAGGGTGGTTTGCGCACTTATCAGCTTGTCCACAGCTGATTCAGCCACAGTACTGCTAGGCGGTGCAGCTGCCCTCCTCTTTTTCTTTTTCTCCTTGCAGACCTCTGTGCTGCCTTCATCACCACCTTCAGATGCACCACCTGTCAAATCCACTCCATCATGTGGAGGTGGGCTTCGAAGGCGCTTCCTGGCTTGCTGGCCGGGTACATACCGTGGTGTACTTGGAGGCTCAATAGCAGAAGAGCTTGGGGTACCGAAAAGGGCACCATCCAAGTCCTCTGCGTCGCTGTCATCGCCACCTGTACACATGGCAGGACGAGTCACTGCTACTACTTGAGCTATAGGTGTGGAAGAACGTGATGGAGGGACTCGTGTGACCTCAGCGTTGTCGTCCACGGACGCACCTGGAGACTCAGAGGATGAAGATGTCGTAGAGGGCAGCTCAAGAGGCGACTTGCTACTTCCCATATCACAGGAGTCCAAAGTCTCAAGTGGCCCTAGACCAGGTACGTCACCGAAGTACTTGTGCCAGGCGCGAAAATTACTCCAGGCTCCGAACGCGCTCTCCATGTCAAACTCCGGATCAGCTTGGCTGCCCGTGGCAGTCGATCTCTTGTACTTCTTGTACATTTCCCTGGCTTTTGATTTCACGTTGTCTATTTTGTTGTGCACTATGAGTGCCGTCACCTCCCAGTCAAGGCCATTTTCCTTGGCAAGTTTGTTCAGCTCATCGGCAATTTCTTTCTCACGAACAGTGCGTTTCTTCATCTTGCCACTCTTCGTCTGTTGATATGCAGCCCATAGGTCGATGAGCTTTGCCTCCAAAACTTCTGAAAAAATCTGACGAGGCATCGTATGAAATTGAACTCAATCGAACAACCAAGTGAAAATAAAACAAGCACTTTCAACCCACTTTGTCAGCAAGAAACAGCGTGTATCCTGCTTTCTATACCCTTTCGGGAGTTGCTGAAAACATATACGAGTTTTCCCGCCACAGGTGAAAGTTGTCAAGGTAACCACAGTACAAGAACACGTTGAAAGCATGATATACGGTGTTTCGTACCTCGTGTGAACCGCACCTAAGCCACGCTGGAGTGTAAGCCACACTGGTGTAAAAGCCACACTGGAGTATAAGCCACGCTGGAGTATAAGCCACACTGGTGTATAAGCCACGCTGGTGTATAAGCCACACCGGTGTATAAGCCGCACTGGAGTATAAGCCACATTGGAGTATAAGCCACGCTGGAGTGTAAGCCACACTGGTGTATAAGCCACGCTGGTGTATAAGCCACGCTGGTGTATAAGCCACACCGGTGTATAAGCCGCACTGGAGTATAAGCCACGCTGGAGTGTAAGCCACACTGGAGTATAAGCCATGCTGGAGTATTAGCCACGCTGGAGTATGAGCCACACTGGAGTACAAGCCACGCTGGAGTATTAGCCACACTGGAGTATGAGCCACACTGGAGTATTGCCGTGACAGACAGCCATGCAGAAAAAAGTGACAGGCTGTACACTCTGTGTGTTCCTGTGCTCTTGCCGTACTGAACAGCCGCAGTGCCATCGTCAACTTGGGCTGGAACACTCCACTGGCGTGGTTTTCAGCACCGTTGCAACATGAGTGCATTCATGAGTGCATTCATGAATGCATTCAGTGTGCTGCTCAATCAAATCCGATCGCGTGAGTCCAGCATGCGCCGGGCGCTGTGCAGCCCTCTATGTACGAGACCTGCGAACACCAGTATGTCCACTGGTGCAGAGCGCCAACTTGACTCCCTTGTTCGGATTTTGTGTGAGCAGCACTGTAGCATCGCCAGATGAGCTACTCAGATTCCTCTTCTTCACGGGGTGCTGTGTTCTGATTTTTGCTTTATTTAAAAAACTACATAATTCTTTTAGTCTGACTTCTGTGCATGAATGCTTTGCTACTGTGCATAGAGGATGCCATGAACAACATTCTTATTTCTTGTGCTGTGTTTGTGTGCGCATGTGCGTGTGTGTGTGTGTGTGTGTGTGTGCACGTGTGTGTGTGTGTGTGTGTGTGTTTGTGTGTGTGTGTGTGTGTGTGCATTCGTGTGTGTGTGTGTGTGTGTGCATTCGTGTGTGTGTGTGTGTGTGTGTGTGTGTGTGTGTGTGTGAAAAAAAAAAAAAAAAAATGAAAAAAAGACCAAAAAAAGGGATTCACTGGCCAGAAAATGTCACTCCAAATAGCTGTATGGTGTAGACCAGGCTGAATAGTGACGGTCAATTCTTCAGCCTTGCAAGCTGTTGAATGGTGTAATCCGAGCACAAGTTGCTATGGCTTCTGCCGTAGCATTGCTATCATCGCCTCCGGCGATGGGCGTCAAAGGTCAAGGTCAAGGTGTGTGTGTGTGTGTGTGCATGTATGTGTGTATGTGTGTGCGTGTGTGGGTGTGTGCATGCATGTGTGTGGGTGCGTGGGTGCATGTATGTATGTGTGTGTGTGTCTGTGTGTGTCTGTGTGTCTGTCATGTTGGTGTACCAACTCACTTTTCTCCAGTCTGCACTCGGTCTGGCCAAGTCAACAGAAGAGGAGAAAGCAAGGTGAGTTTGCAATGGGTGCGTCCGTGGTTAGCATAAATGGCTCACACTGGCGGAGAAATCCACGTTCAAAAGTCTTGAGAATCAAAAGTCATGAGAAAAGTCAGTACTATTGTCTATGCACAGTTGAGTCACCGTGTATACATTGGGGGGGGGGGGGGGGGTGGGGTGGCCAACTTTCCGTGTATACATTGGTATGCTCTTCTTAGTGATATTCTAGACTGTTCGTTCTTTGGCACTCCGTTCTTTGGCACTCCGTTCTTCGACACTCCGTTCTTTGGCACTCCGTTCTTTGGCGCTCCGTTCTTTGGCGCTCCGTTCTTTGGCGCTCCGTTCTTTGGCACTCCGTTCTTTGGCACTCCGTTCTTTGGCACTCCGTTCTTTGGCACTCCGTTCTTTGGCACTCCGTTCTTCGGCACTCCGTTCTTTGGCACCCGATAGTACTGTGTCCCTGAATTGGATGGCACATTGTGCATCTCTTGAGGAATTTGCAAATACGTAATACGAATTATGTATATGTATTCACTCGGAGCATGCACAGTACACTCAGTACACTACTGTATAAGACGTTTTTTCGGTGTATTTTTTTCCGGTATTTTCGGTAGAGAAACCGGCACCTCGTTGTGTGATAAATTGAGACTCTACCTGAAGAAACCACAGAGCTGGGTCTTGAATGTAAAAGGGTGGAATCTTCAAATTAACGGTTGATACAGTCTCAGGACGAGGAGCAGGATCCGATTGTGCTGCAGCGGCAGGCTGGGATCTCGTAGCTACATCAGTAGCGGTGCTTGAAGGATCGCTGCCATTACCGGTACTCGCCTGCACTGTTTTGTTGAGATATGGCGAGTGTAGTCAAGAAGAGAGACCTTTGCTAAGGTCACCACGAGCAGGGGTGACAGCTTGGTCCGTTCCTAAGCCTGAGGAGAACATCCGAGTTCGTTTCGAGGGGTCACCAATTGATGCGTCTAGCACATCTCAATTCTAAAATCCACCAGGAATCCACAGGAAAACTACTCACACTACACCGGTATTATTCATTGCCAAAAGAACACCGAAAGGCCAAACCGCATGGTGAAGACTAATGTCTAGACTACTGAAGGATTCTCTGAATCCTTGTGCCATAACAAAGAGAAAATACAGAATGTGTAGTGCGCCAAAGTTAGCGTATGTACAAACATGTAATAATGACAACGCGCAATAAAAGGAGTCCAAATATCCGGCAAAGGACACGAATGGTGTACGGTAAAGGAAGACACGTGCATGCATGAGTACCCTAGCAAAAGTGTACAAACCTAACGTAGATATCCCCGTGGTACTAATCGAGTACCGTACGCTACATATTTATGCAAAGCAATATCAAATAACATACTAGCATAAAAGAATGCAAATAATTTAATTTCAAAACACATGGAAAATCTCCGTAAAACAAATCGTTAAAACCGTAGGCTTATCGCAAATCACTACAAGTCCATTCAGAGAAGGTTGATATCCTAGCTTTTGGTCATAAACGGGTCAAATTTTGAGTTTTCGTCTCCTTTTTTGGCAATCCCCCATGGAATGCTCTTCCAATTGTGTTTTTGAAGTCTATTTCTCCAAAAAAGCAAGCCATAACAAGAATAGGATTTCGGCCAGGTTTTGCCCCCAAAGCACTGAATTGGGTAAAAACCTTGAAAATCCAGGCCGTTCACTCCACTTGCATAACAGTACATTTGCGGTTCGAGCCCCAGTTGAGGTGCCTTTTGGGCCCTTTTTCAAGTTTCTAATCGCGCGGCACTGCACAGTGTACCACAAAATCGCCTAACACGGGAGCTCTCCAGAGCCAGCGCTCAACCTTTTCTGAATGGACTGTAGTGTAGTAGTACTAGTACCGTAAAGTACCGTTGATCCGCCCCCTCTCTAATTCCCGCCCGCTGTCGATTTTCTACATGTGAAGCGACTTCGGCGTATACAGCGAAATACGATGTTGAACCGACGCTTGCACTGCTGTACACAAAACGTGCCAATCCGGGATGAAAATGTGCACAATCCAGCACGTCGAGTCTGATCCTCCACGTGTTTGTACATCGTACTGCACATGACAGTCTTGGTCTAATTCCCGCCCGCTGCCGAAAACCCAGCTGGGAAGCGACATGGCAAGGGGGGGGGGGGGGGGATCAACGGTACTTTACGGTAGTAGTAGCAGTTTTATTATTTTACTAGGGGAGTCCCAACAGGCTACTGCCTTTTTTACTAAATCTAGATTACACCTGAGAGGCACTAGAGCACATTCTGTATGAAGGGTAGGTTGGTCACCTAATTCTACGTTAAACCTGAAACCTGGCTGGTCCCTGACACCGAAATTTCTCTACACCTAAAATTACATGGGGAAGAGTGTGTTGCTCCCTACATGGGAGCTCGCGGTTTTCCTGCCGACTTGAATTCTCACTTGACTGACTCACGACTGCCACCAGAGCACACGAGAAGTCCATCGAACCGTCCACTCGGCAAACCTGCAAGAAAGCACCACTCCCTGCTCAATACACAGTGTCTCGGGGAATTCAACTAAAATTACATGTTTTATATACAATACATAGTCCACCAAGGACGTGACGCGTTTGAGCGACTTATCATGCCAGTTTTGTCCTTTCCGTCTGGCCCTGAGTTGCAACAGACTACTGCTGACTTTGAACACTTGTGCCATCTACCAGGCTGTACGGCAGCCCTTGATGAAACACTCATGAACATTCGAAAACCTATCGTATTTGCCGGTGTGTTTAGCGCACTTTGAAACGCGTAAAAAAACTCGAAAATCGCTCCTGCGGCTTCGACTCCGAATGCTGACTAGCGCTCACTCCATGCATAGAATGCATGTATGGTGTCATTCATCTACTTTTAATGTACAGTAAACACCTGGTTTAAGCGACCACCTCACGGTGCAAGCAAAAGCGGTCGTTAGAGCCAGGTGGTCTTTAGAGCCAGGTCCCACAGTGTCTGTGTAGAACTGTCGGTGCATGGAAAAACGGTCGTGAAGAGCAGGTGGTCGCTAAACACAGAGGTCGCTTACACCAGGTTTTACTGTCCTGCAATCCATCATTGTACTAGTGCAAAGTTTCTACATGTTGTCAGCTCTGAGTGAAGGACAAACTAGGCAAATTTTGTAGAACTTTTAAAGTCGTGCTTCTCAACGTTTTAACCACTGGTAATGTCTTGTGTGTACCGATACCCATTAAGTTCGGTTGCCAACAAATTTCAAAGTCTGATGTGCGGCTTATACACCGAATGTAGCAAAAATACTGCAAGATACGAATATTGGACCCGATAATGGCGGGGGGGGGGGGGGGGGCTCAGACCCTCGTGCGGCTAACACGCCGGAAAACACGGTATCCGCTAGTGTTGAAACGATCTCACCGGATACTCGTTAGCTCGCTCGCCAGAAACTCGGCTCGTTTGTGCGGCCAGCTCGTTTGCACTAACGAACACCGTACACCGTACTCCGTACACATGGCAGTACATGTATTGTATTGTATTTATTTATTTAAAAGGATTCTCCAAAAGCAAATGGATGCTTATCACGGAAGTCTCCCACATAAATATCGCAAGAAAAATGGGGAAATGGGGGAGAGGAGAGTGGAAGATGAAGCATGGGAAGAAGGGAAACAAGTACCTAAATATCGAGGTATAAAAGCAGGAAAGAAATCGACGAGCGACCGGGGAGTCGTAAAATATTTTATGACTCCCTGGTCGATCGAGAGTCCAGTCCCGCGCAAAGTGAAAATCACTCGCAGTTACAGGTGACTGTATGCCTGCACGACACTTGAGTTGTTTCAGTTGTCGTTGCAGCTTTGGTGGACGCTACTGATATCTTGTTCCCGCCGCATCTGCTGACCTGTCGCAGGATATGCTTCGGTCACCTCTCCATTCGAGTGAAAGTTACGCTCAGTCGTTTGGAAGTTTTCTCCCGCGATGCAGCGAAGACCAGGCCTACTTGCAATCTTTGCAAAACGGTCTATTCTTACAAAGGCTAATCGACGACGGCGCTGAAAAGACATCTCGACACCAAACAGCAGTGAAGCAGCAGCAACCCCAAATGCCGGCGGTGATAATTTGAACCAGTTGAAAAAAATCGAACTTAGAAAAAACATTATTCAAAAAAATAATCATATTTGCCACATCAACATGATCAATGAAACTCGTTAGCTCGCTCGATAGCTTGCTCGTTAGTGGAACTGATCGCTCGTTTGTTATTGATACGCTCGTTTCAACACTAGTATCCGCCATGCAGACGCTTTCTATTGTTGCAAGGGTTATCAAGCCATTGTACTGTTGCTGTGTATGGCACGAAGCTTGAATTTCGAAGTCTGAAGATAACGTTGAAACGTCTCTGCTGGTCTCTCTCTCTCTCATTCTCACTCTCTCTCAATCTATCTCACACACTCTCTCTCTCACTCTCTATATATCTCTCTGCTCTTTTTTACAATTGTTTAGGCGCACTGAGGCAGTTCGTGTTGCATCCCTACAAACTGTCAATGTACCATTATCGGTAATGAGGATCTGTGACAAGTGCTGGGAGCACTTGCATGTACTTGCTGCTCATGGCAATATCAATTGCAAGTCGGATTTGCAGGTGCGTACAGTTGTGTGTGTGTGTGTGTGTCCTCTCTCTTTCTCTCTCTTTCTCTTCCTCCCTCTCTCTCTCTCTCTCTCTATCTATCTATCTCTCTTTCTATCTATCTCTCTCTCTCTCTCTCTCTCTCTCTCTCTCTCTCTCTGTTTTCCGCTATGAAGTGATCTGCTCCTTCCTGTGTCACTCTGATTCACTCACTCGCTAAGTATGCTTCTCTTCTTCTGTCGTGCTTCCAGGTTGGAGCGAAGAGCTTAGAGACTGGTGTATTTGGAGCGTACCAGAATGTTCGCATCAACTTGCCATCCATCACTGACACTGACCTAAGAGCAAAGGTAACGGTTTTCTTGGCTACTGTGTGTCCGTTGGTGTCCTCGTTTGGTACACTCGCTTGGTGTCGGTTCGTGTCATCCTTCCATTCAATGACCAGACCGATTTGCATCGAGCCCCGTTGCATTACGCAAATACAGTACTGTCCGTCGCCGAAGAACTGGGGGGGGGGGGTCTGCCTCCTAGCCTCCTAGCCTAGACCGTTCTATTTGTCTAGTAGTACAGTCTATGCGCAGTTGAGCCACTGTGTGCACATTGGTATGCCGTGCTTGGTGAAATTCTAGGCTGGTCGTTCTTCGGCGCCCTACAGTACCAAGGCCGTCACAGCCACTTTTTGGGCTTTTTGGGCTTTTTTTTTTTTTTTGGGACCAAACTGCAAGAAAGCGCTATGATCGCAGCTCAACGTAAACGTGGCAAATCCTTGTCCCCGATCAAAATGCTTGCAGTTGGCTTCAACTTTTGACCCGGGGGAGGGCCCCCGGACCCCCCTTCCATGGCCGCCCCCTCCAAAGTCGGTGCGACGGGCCTGAGTACTGTATGTGCACATTGGTATGCTGTGCGTGGTGAAATTCTAGCCTGGTCGTTCTTCAGCACCCGACACTACTGTACTGTGTGCATCGTGATCATGATTGAACAATGAACATACTATTCAGCACTACATTGTAGTTCGACCTCGGTGTTGTGATGTTGCTCTCAGATGTGAATATTTGTATGCAGCCATCATAGACTGATATGTGTTGCCCGGAGAAATGTTTTCAAATTAGGGTGCAAAATCCTGCATTCTGGGCACTTTTGGCATTGCGTTAAGAAAAGTGGTCCGGCCAAAGTCGGACCGGCTGCTACACCCCTGTAGGTAAATATGGTTACGTCACATCATTTATTTCTGCGTTATGTTGAGTGACATCATGTGCACTGGGTTGACACGATGCCATTCACCGCAACACATGTGCAATGATGCCGTCCTATGATACCATCTCAATGATGTCATCCTATGATATCGTCCTGTGATATCGTTCGTTTATATCATCCTATGATGTCATCCTAAGATGTCACCCACATAAGCTCCATGGAGTACATGATATCTTTGTCAGGTCAATATTAAAACATGGGTCATGTTTCATCTTCATTGCTAGGAGGATACCCTGCAAGCACTAATTCATTACTTGAGGGATACCCTGCAAGCACTAATTCCCTACGAGAAAACCCAGTGTGATCACATTGGCGACCGGTGTTGTGTTTTACAGTTGCGCTCGGCGAAATCCGACCCAAAGTGCAAAGCTGGCGCCCTGGACCAGTTCCGATTACATCATTGTATGTGTACATGTGTACGTCCAGCTGCATTCGTGCCACTTCCAGGGTTTCTTGTATTGTATTGTATTTTATTCTTTCACTTGGGCATTCCACAACAGACCCTAAGGTCTTCTTGCAGGGTGCTAGTTGAGGGTGCCAAACATGCACTCTGGGTCGGATTTCACCGAGCGCAACTGTACTCGTACTTGTAGTGCCAGAAGTTGATCTAATAGGATGTTTCTATTGTGGGATTGTTGGTCTTGTGTAGATTTCCTCCGAAGCCGATGCCGTGTACACCCGTGCAGTGCAGCAATGTAAGCTGCTGCTCGACGCTGTGGACGAGCGATCCACGTAAGAGCCATGCCTGATACTGGAGCATGCCAGCGGGACTCCTCTGTCTTTTGCTGTATATACGGTTAGCCACCGCATGGGTAGTATTACATAGTCATGTTGTGTAATCTTGAGCGTGCCGCTTATTAACTCAGCTTGTTTATTTTTTACCAAATCTTCACGGCTTGGTTCCCTGCTTGGTTCTCTATTGACCGTGACAGTCGTATTGTATTTACTCTCTTTTTCTTGAAACGTTCCGCGATGTGTCCGGTCTTCGATGCTATTCCGAGAATTCGATTTTAATGCTGACAATATCGGTCAGAGCTGGCCAGTATTGTTTCAGCTATAGCTGTGTCTGTCACCCCACCACCGCCACACCCCCAGCTCACACCGTATGAGCATGCTTGCTCCCTGGCCTAGGAAGAAAGCGTTGTCTTGTTGCTCCCTGTTCTGCACATGACCTGAGCAATGTTGTCAAGCGTCTCCAGGTTTTAATTCAGTTCAACCCTGCTGCTGCTGCCTGCAATCGTTTTAATCTTCAAGCCCAGCCCCCCCCCCCCCCTCTTTATGCTAGAATTGTGCTAATGCTGCCAGTCGGATGGTATTGAGTAATTGTCGTACATAATCTATGGATATTGTTAGTGCTTGAGTACCTAAAGATTTATGGTTTCTTTTTAATTCTCTGCTTTTTACCCCCCCCCCCCCCCCCACTCTCGGCAGCCTTGCCAGCTATTTTTTTCTGGCCCTTTCCTAGCAGAGTTTTTTGTTTAAATATAATTTTAAAACATTGTTCGACAAGGCATTGCTTCTGCATGCAGTCACTACAGTCGTACAGTGTGGTATCACAACTGTCACATGACTACACAGGACAGCCACTGTTTGTCCACTGTCCGCGTGACGTGATCACTTTCTGCACATTTAGGGTGTGTTTGGTTGGTAAGATCTAGAACAGGATAGAACAGCTGTTGCGAGCAGCCTCATGCCAACCAAACGGTACTCCAGAAACAGAACACATTTTTTTGTGAACAATGTGCCAAACTTGGTGCATTCTTCAAATGTGTATGGGTCACCATGGTCCCTTTGTGCGGTACAGCAAGTCCAACCCAAAAGCGTATGCACGTGATCATTTGGGACCAAAATCAATGTTCCCCGCAGGTTTCAGTGTAAAAAAGTGAAACTGCTCGGTCTGCTCCGGCCTCGAGGCCAGAAGCAAGCAGAACATGTTCTGGCCGACCCAGAACAGGTGCAGTCCCAACCAAACGCACTGTTCTGGTGAATCCTGTTCTAGGTCGCACCAACCAAACGCGCCCTTAGTCGCATGACAATGATGTGAAACCACTGTCTATTGGTCGGTACTGCCGCGCGCGCGCGCACACACACACACACACACACACACACACATACACACACACACACACACATACACACACACACACACACATACACACACACACACACATACACACACACACACACACACACACACACACACACACACATACACACACACACACACACATACACACACACACACACATACACACACACACACACACACACACACACACACACACACTTAGTAGTAGTAAGTACACGGTGCCCCCCCCCCCCCCCCTCTAACAATTTCGACCTAGGTTCAGCATGCACATAATATGTATGACATGCACCAGCCATCCTACACATATGCGGCCGTGCCCTCCCCCCCCCCCCCCCCCCCCCCCCCCAGCAGCTGCGACCCTGATCATAGTTACAGCTTGCATGTCGCTCATGGAATGATCCGTGGGCTTAACGCGTCTGTCAATAAAATCCAGGCAGAAGAGCCAACAAAAGGCATCTCAATATTGTTAGAACGTATAGCAGTACTAAAGAACAACTGCGCAGGCGCAGCACGTTTTTCCACAAGAGTCAGCCATTTTTTTCTCTTGTTTAGAACAGTCAGAAATATCAACATTGGCGCACTTTATACCGGTATATAATAATGATGAGTCACCACCACTAGCACTACACAAAGGTGGTTGAATTGGCTGCAGTGGAGCCTCCGTGTTCTAAAACGTTAAAAATTAAAATACTTTTAATATTGGCAATCCATCTGAGTTGGGGTTGGCCGCGCCGGCACTGGATGTCCCGGGTATTAATAATTACCATCTAGCTCCAGTGCTTGGTAAGACGCTGAATACACTTCCAAATGCTGCCCATAAATAAATACCATTCATAGTAGAAACTCCTACATGTAGAAGATCAGAATGATGTAGAACACCAATACTCTGTTGAACCGTGTCTATAAAGTATAAACTGCATTCGAAAACAAGCAGAAAAGGGAGCAGAAGGGACACATGGATACATGGATACAACAAGAGTACACAATCAAGAGTATGCATTGTAGTTGTTGGTCTGTGCGCGGCACGCGGCAATCATTACGTAACTTGCCTCCATCACGCCCTGGACACATGTACTCAAACCCACAGTTACGGCTCTCACACCAGCTCAACCGCTTTTGCTCTGACCTCTCAGTAACCATGCGGTTTCTAAATTGGCGCGTGAACTCCAGTTCCGAGCGAAAGCTCACTTCAAGCCAGATGGGAAGTGTGATGTTTGATTTTCCGCAGTACTGCAGCTGAATGATGTACAGTGACGAAGGCAGCACGCCGCGCATCTGGCTCACGGAAAAGAGATAACAGTCGAATACTCTTGTTCAAGGACTCTTGATACAAATCACAAGCAACTGTCCACTACTGTAACCGAATAATGCACGGCCAGAAAATACAACCAGACAAACCCACCAGCAGGCTTTCAACTCGGAACTTTTGGGGAATCAATTATGGAGAGTAGTAGAAGACGACTATAGAGCTCATTGCTCGTTAAGTTTGTCAGTGAAGGCGCCGTGGTGATTTTGCTCTATTACGATTTGGTCGAGGGTAACCTGAAAGAAATGGTCCAGCACCTGCTCCCACACCAAGTGCGTGTGATTCATCACGGTCAAGCGCCCGTAGCCGTTCAGGCCCGGCAGCCACGAGCGGTACGCCGACCAGTCGTAGCCGGAGCGCAGTATCGGGTTCGTGCACAGGTGCAGGAACGTCTCCGAGCAGCCCGTCTGTCCCGTGATGATGTGAACCGGAGCGCGCGGATTCCTGTAATCCGTCTGGTACAGCGTGCGGTTGTACGTCGGGTAGAACCGCTCGTAGGAATGCTCGTGACCTTCCAGGATGAGGTCCACGCCACCATCGAAGAAAATTTTCTCGAATTCCACTCGAACGTTGGGTCTGTGCACGCAATGAGAGGGGAGAGAAAGAACACCGCCTTCGAATCACTTCACCGCATGGGTGTGTGTGGGGAGCATGGGTGGGTGTATATTGGGGGAGGGGGAGCATGTGTGTGTGTGGGGGGGGGGGGGGAGCATGGGTGTGTATTGGGGAGGGGGAGCATGTGTGTGTGTGTGGGGGGGGGGGGGCATGGGTGTGTGTATTGGGGGAGGGGGGGGGGGGAGGTATAAGATATTAATAGTTCCAGTAGTGTAAGTTTAGTGAAACCCAGCTCAGTTTACGAGCACCCAGATTCGTAGTACAGTCCTGCTCAATGAAATACAGTCACTCTAGTTTGCGGTTTGTATCATTTCATAGCTCCGTGTTTGCAGATCTTTGGCTGCGCAACGCGCGGCGCGTACTTGAGCGACGCGACTGGATTTCATTGAGCAGCACCGTACATGCCTTGTAGAGGCGACGGTTTCAAATAGGACACCGGTTGCAAACCGGAACGGATTCAATATTCACTTTCTCTCTTGGTATTGTGATTAGAAAACATAATAGCAGTGAGACTACGATGTGTTATACTCCGAGCCAAAATTTCATGGCTCTGCGATGACCAGAAGCGCCATACCCAAGCAGGTGAGTTTTTGACGTGTTGCTTCGCACTGCGACTTGAGTTTTACGACTTTCGAAAAATCAACTTCTTGTCGCAGGTAAACAGCGGCTCGCCTCTCGCCAATAAAGCACCTTATACCAATCAAAACTAATGGAAGCGCACACAAGGCTTATTGTTACTCTGTACTGGCCGTCATGGAGCGATAGCAGTTACCTAATTTCAGACCCAGAGTGAATTTGACGTGCACTCTAAAACGTGTCCGGTTTGGAGCCACCTCTGATTTGAACTTTTTTGAAGCGAAAAATTGGGCAACTTGGAGGCAATGGGTCAACACAAAGGAGTGGCTCAGTTCGATTGACTCTAGCCCCAAAGCAAACTTCAACATGCCAGTTTCCTTCCACAAACATATTTCGAGTGAAAAGTCAACGCTGATGATCGGTTTGGGTCTATACAAATTTGGCTGTCAAGGCGTTCCGGTATCGAACCGTCTACTCTACAGTACTCAAGATCTCTGGGAAATGTGACGTCAACCAAAACATTCCACTTGGGCCAAACAAAGCAGAGTCTCACCCTCTTGTTTATGAACCCTTGCTTGCAAGTATGTACTCTTGACAGTACAGTAAACCCTGGTTTAAGCAACCACCCCACGGTGCAAGTAAAATCGGTTGTTAAAGCCAGGTGGTCTTTAGAACCAGCTACCATACATTCGTGGCATATGGGATTGTGTACATACATGTGCATGATTGTACTTCCATGTACTCATATTGACAGGTGTGGAGCACGGAATACTTTCGTGCACGCAAAGCACACCTCGCTCAAGTGCATGCAGCGCATCCTGCACTGTCACTGGTCACCTCTGCTGACTGCATGCCTTGCTTCAGAGCGAACTCCAACCCTGTTGCAGTTAAACCTGCCAGCGAAGACTGCAGTTTTGGGTAGTTTTGGTTGCTGTCTGCACTGTATTTCCAATGCACCAAGCATGCATACATTCTGTAAGTGCAATGCACCAAACGTATCTGAAAGACTTCTTTAAAAAAAAGTAACCAAGAAATCTAAACTGATACTCGAGACTGGGACCTACATGTACCGTATTTTTCGGAGTATAGTGCGCACTTTAGATGTGCTATTTTAGGCCCTAAATAGCAGGTGTGCACTATGCTCCGAATATGAAATGCATGTACATGTACTTCAATGAAGATTGAAGTGCGCACCCTCAATGAAGATTGGAGTGCGCACCCCCAATGAAGATTGGGGGTGCGCGTTATACAAAGGTGCGCACTGTACTCCGGAAAATACGGTAGCTACCCCCCCCCCCCCCCCGCCACGTCCCATTGCACCTAACGGTACATTGCACACAAGTCTACACAATCGTCGCTACTACAGCTTTCTTCAGATGAGATTGCACCCGTTATCAGCCAGCTTACTACAGTACATGGACAGTAAAACCTGTCAATGCGACCACTCGGATACGGCGACAACCTGTCCCAGAAGACCACTGCAGCCAGGACCAAGGGACGCTATTTCCAGTCATATGACCCTGGGTGAGGAGACCACCTGGTTACCGAGACCACGTTTTGAAGGTCCATTGAGCGGTCGTCTTAGTCAGGTTTCACTGTACATAAGGCGGTGTCCAAACTGAGACCTTGCTGCCCCCCCCCCCCCCCACCACCACCCTCGTCCCATTGTGCCCTACATGATCTAAAGGTACAGAGCACACATACATGTACATGACTGTACAAGTGTCTACACAATCACGACGGCTTACTTCATATGGTTGCATCCGTTATCGGCCAGGTTGCTGCAGTACATGGGACGGTGTCCGAACGCCACGATCCACGGGACTTGCTTGCGCCGGCGATTGGCCGCGGCCAGGTCACGCTGCAGCCACTGGCGTGTGGTACTGCGCAGGTAGGGACGCATGAACAGACTCTCCGTGTCGTACGCTATCACGTGCACCAGTCCAATGTCCATGGAGTAGAAGAGAGGCTCATACTGCGTCGCCACCTGCGTCATCGGTCTAGGCCAGCTGCTTGCCGCATCCCCGGCGGGGACTTCCCCTTCTGGCACGCCGACAAACTCTACGGCGTCGGGTGCGGGTACTGGCATGCTGAAGCGGTTCATGTACGGGTGGAACTGGTGGAACAGCTCGTGGTTTCCAGGCGCAGTCATGTATGGCAGGTAAGCCGCCGCGCCCTCCATCTCTCGCAGGAATCGGTCGCCACGCCGACCACCCTCGTCGTGCAGATCGTAGGCAATGTCCCCGACGTGAAACATGGCCACGTACTCGCCCGTCTGCGCTGCCTGGTGCAGTCGCGCTATCGTGGCCCTCCCGCTGGCAAGGCCCAGGTCGCCGAAGAACAGGAATTTCAGGGGCGACCCGTCCTGCCCGGATAATAACTTCTGGGTGTTGGTCCAGAAAGTCTTGCTGCACGTGTGGCTGCTGCACACCTGGTAGAAACACTGCTTCTCCACTTCCGGTACGATGCGTGACCTGTGTAACCACTGGCGACCCAACTCATTGCCCTCCGCGTGCCTCCACGTGTGTGCTTCCACCGTTATGTTGAGACCAGCGGCTGGGTCGGTGCCGAACAGGGTAGCTGACTTCACGCACCGCGAGCCGGTGGCCCACTGCACAGTAAGTTCCACGTACGGATCCGTCCTTGCCAGCGCTAGGTGAACTTGTTCAGGCTCACACTCCTCCTGCTGTTCCTGCTGGCCCGGCTCAGCCTGTGGAGGATCCACCGTTTCCACCGTCGCGTCGTCCTCTGGCTCTGCGGCCAGATGGCGAGATAGCTCGTCCGCCAACACGCTATTGAACGCTAATGCGACCAGCACGCCCAGCGAAACTGCACGCCGTCCAGCGGGTAATTCACGACTTCCCGCCATACTTCTACCAGTGCCGCACACGTACGCAATGCCAAATCACCCTGCTCCTGGCCTCTGGTTCTGCTGGCGTCGAAACACAGACTCGTTCACACACCGACACGCACATGAGTCTCTCGCTTGGGCCCCCTCTGTTTTCCTCTTGACGTCTACTTGAACTACTGGAGGCGTGATCAGCGCAGTTCCTTTCTACGTCTCTTCTTCCTCGGAGTCCGCAATCAAGTGTAGTTTTCGTGGCTGCACGGCATTGATGGCAAACAATCAGCAAGCAATCAACATAACCACGGCATGATAGCCAGATAGCTGTATTTGAAGCCTGTCCTACTTCGATGTTTTAGACACTATTGTCGTGTCCACTCACCATTGATCATGGCGACACCTGATCGGAGCTGTGTGCCCATGAGCTCTGTGTAATGGCACGACATGCATGTGTGCTAGATCCTGCACTCAACGGAAGTAAATGAACTGCAAACATTCAAGTGACATGCGCTTCCAGCCGCACTCAACTAACCCGTGTGGGACTGTGGTGTGGCGTTCTTTCTGCAACCCGCCCAGTGCAAAGACAATGCAGCGCGCAGACGGACATACACCGTCGTACACCAAGTAGATGTACGCCAATGACTGTTACAAGTGTTAGCGACACGGGTCAACCATGGTCAACTGTGAGTCTGTGCTTTGCAAGTCGCCGCGGTGAAGCATCGGGCCGCGGGGTTGAATGTGAAAGTAGTGGGTGCAAGACCATGAAGATTGAGTCACCAGGTCACACTGTCTCGCAGAGCAAGGGCAGTTCTCACCTCATCGAATCTACTCGCATGAGTGCGTTTGGCCTTCTCGCCAGATCTGGGTAGCCCAGGACAAGCTACATGTAGCCTTGTAGGTGTAGATCAATGGTAGTATAATAATAGATGTCGTGCACTAGTACTAGTACTTAGTAGTAGTAGAGCATTCTATTCATAATTCGCGGGATTCGCGTTGGCATCATCGCTTCAGAAACACACAAACTAGCCTTCGCTTCCGCAGGCCACCACTATGCCTATGCGGCGTATGCCTATGCCATGGCTACTAGTATGCCTTGTACATGGCTTAGTGGCAAATGCAGGCCTCACAAGTGAGTCAGGGGAGAATACATGTAGGTGAGACGATAGCCCAGTGAAAAGGAACCACGATCTCCGGTGGTCTCGGCGGCGACCATGGTGGACTCTGTCCTCGACTGGGACAGGGGGAGTTCTGGACCGACCGTGGGCCATGGTGGACGCAAGGCCCGTGTCGTCGCGCGTGTAGTACGTGTACCGGGTGGAAAACCATACAAATAACTAGGGCTGAAACGATCATCCATTTAGCCCAATCGATTACTCTTTATCATAACGATCGATTATTCGAGGAGGCCGCACCTGGAATATGTACGTGGAATGGCAAAAAGTGGAAATATGTACAAAATTTTGAACAAAACTGCTATGTGGCCAAAAATAATGGGCAGCGTTACAGACAACAACTACCCAACATTACAATGCATGGCTGAGACTGAGAGTGATGCGGAATGTTCAATAACACTGCCAAGAGATGTGTAGTACTGTGTACTATAATTATACTCTGCGCTGCATGCACTGCGGGTATAAGAAATAAATAATCGTAATCGGTAATCTAAACAGTAATCTAAACTGTAAGTGTAAACGATTGCTCGATCGTTGGAGTTTTTTAAATATTTTTATTATTGTATGTACATGTACTCATGTAAGACTTACATCGACTCAAACCTTGCCAGTTATCATGGTTTTGTTTGCACCTCCGCCTTCGCTTTCGGGCGGAATAGGCAAGTAAGTAATAGTCTTTCTTTACATGTACATGTATTTCGGGATTACCCAAAGGCTGACGCCTATCGGGTATATCGGGGGGATCTCCTATTTGTGTATACTGTGTACAATGAACAGTGGAGTTGGGAAAGGAGAAAGTGTGCAAAATGAGTTCGGAAAAAGAGAAGTTGAAGGCGGTCACCAACCACCACTTCACCAGAGGAGATCATGCAATGATTTTGTCATACCGGTAATGGAAGAACTGGATTACTGGACACGATACACGATCCACCGTAACAGAGTAAAAAAGAAAAACTAAAAATTGCAAACTAGTACATGTAGTAGTCTTCCGACTCTTCACAATCATCATCAATAACTAGTATAAGGACTCCGAAATTCATGAACCAGTTTTCTGGTATTCTCTTCGAATGAAATACATGTACATGATTGTACAAGCAACCAGAACAAAATTTATCACCTACAAGTGTGTGTTGTGATCTGGTGATGGTTACCACCCTTGTGTTGTGATCTGGTGATGGTTACCACCCTTGTGTTGTGATCTGGTGATGGTTACCACCCTTGTGTTGTGATCTGGTGATGGTTACCACCCTTGTGTTGTGATCTGGTGATGGTTACCACCCTTGTGTTGTGATCTGGTGATGGTTACCACCCTTGTGTTGTGATGTTACTTATTCTTATGTTTCATTGCTAGGGCAGTAGTAGGAGGCAAGACGGAGAATCACTGAATGGACCGAAGGTTTTTACGAGAGTAGATCTACTCGAACTAGAGTCGTAGATCTTACGTAGAATCTACATGATTGTACAATCATGACATTGTCATTGTAGAGGCTACATGTAGCGAGTTTCCAAAAAAATAAGCCTGTGAGGCTGTGGCCATGTGGAGCCGAAGAAGGGTTTCGATCTTGGCCTTGGGCGGTGGAAAGCCGGGAGGAGAGTCGGAGACCTCAGCTTCCGCTGTATGAGACGCGTATGCCGCACGTCGGGACCGGTACCAGTCTACCTCAGTACCTGGTCTGCTCGATCGAAGATGCTAGCTAGATCCACAACCACTGAACCAGAACCACGGGGTATCGCGGATAATAATCGCGACATCCAAACATTTTAGTAAAAATGTTGTTCCGCACTAAGTAATACTAGTAAGTCTTATTGTACTTGGCGGGTGGCACGACTGCCATGCGCCATGATCACTACTATCTACCGAGTACGTGTAGATCTACCTGTCCGTGCGTGCCTCCTTCATTTGAGCGGTTGGTCGTTTCATCTGCGTCTTGAAGCCTGAAGCCTTGTGAAGAGATCGGCCGGGAGTGGAAATGGAGGAGTAGTGCTACTAGTGGTGTGTAAGACGTGTAGATCTATTACTATTACTATTAGTACTACTAGCAAAAATTAATGTAGTACTATCTCAGTATCTGGCAATGCCGCCGTGGCCTGAGATTCTGGAGACTCGACACGTGCATCGACTAGGTCAGCAGTAGATCTACTACTAGTACTAGACTACTAGCCACAGGTGACGTCTGGCTCTGCATGCACACCGCTCGAGTGCAAACCCAGCGACAGCGACATGTTCTGGAGACCGTAAAGTCGAAGTGGACTGTTCTGTTCAGGAAAAGACTTGACTGGCGTGTGCCTCACTGCCTTCAACACTATTCCTCTCGAGGAGCACGTCCACAGCAAGCTGAATGACGCAAGGGAGGCTCGGCATGTGATTCTGCACAACTGTGAGTGTGTGACAAGGTTCGTAGTGGGACTTTCAGTGTACTACTACTAGTAATAGATCTACTCTGTATTTCGCAAGTCGAGGTATTTTACAAATTAAAATTATTTTGACTCCCGTTATAAGTACTTCGAAGTAGTTGACTACATACCGTACATGTACACGTTAGGCCTCGGTCACATTACGGCAAAAATGCTGCGTCAGCGTCAGAATCATGAGCTTTTCCATGGCAACTGACGCAAACGCGGGAAGTCTGAGCGTCAGACGCTGCTGCGTCTGACGTGGGGAAATCGGCTGCGTTGCCGCTGATGGGAGTGACGCTTGGCGGAAAAACAGTGTCTTTCAAGTAAAATTAGTTAACTTTCAAGACAGTTGCTTGAGTTGAGCAGTCATTCGACGTTCGTGTCTTCAAGGTTTGTTTTGTTCCCTCTTTTTTTCGAGATGAGTCCGTGGACCTACGAGGCCGAGGCTGCTCTGCTCCGAACCTGGCGGAAGAGCGCGGCGTTTTCTGAGAAGAAAATGATGTCGAGAAAGGACCAGTTTTTTGAGTGGGTCATCAGCCAACTGGAGCCTGTTGACTTGTGAGTGTTGTGTTGTCGTCATGAGCCCCAAAAAGGACAACCAGTATGACGAAGTCAGGAGAAACATAGCTGCGATGCGGACTTTTCTTGCCTGATCCATGACACTACAACTGAAACTGGCTTCAAATTCGGAAAGAACGATCGTGCACGCGTACGCGTGGACCTTTCGTCTTCTTGTAATCAAAAATCAATGAAAAATTTGAAAACTTTGTCCGACAATTTTTTGTATAATAAGCAAAAGGCCGGTTTCCGTGGGAATCTGTGTCGTCATTGAGTTTCCCTGGTGATTTTGTGACGTAGACAAATGCGTCAGGCCGCGGCAGTCATGAGCCGCAAAAAAACAAAACACTGTGTGACCCCGCGTCTGCGTCAAGTGCTGCGGCTTGACGCTGCATCCAGCTTCAAATTTGCCGTAGTGTGACTGAGGCCTAACAGGGTTGTTCCACAGTGCTGGCAACTGAAATCCGACCCCCTAGCGGTGCGTTCACTTTCTAGAGGTCTCTGTTTCGTAGTTTTACCATCCCGTGTTGGGTCTTTGCGATGTGAGCGCACAGCTCAGGGGTCGGATTGTAGTTGCCAGCGCTGTAGTGTACTAGTAGAAAGTTTTGTTGGATACAAGTACTAGAAGTAGAGTAACAATCACATCATGTTGATCGGGTGACAGGAGTTTTCAACGCAGTGCGTCCTTAGGGGTCCGTAAATGTCGATAGTTTTTACAATCCGTGAAATTTTCGTACCTGGGTGGTGGGTGCAGCCGAAATTCAAAGTAAATAAAATATCGATGACACGCGGACCTGGCGCCCAGTACTGCGTGTGCGTGGGTCTGCATGCGTCGAACCACACGTACACGTAGATTGTTGTCTCCAAAAAATGTAGTGGAGATCGAAACTCTTGAAGCAAAAGAAAGAGGGAAGTTTGTCAGATATTATTCACAAGAATAATTATTGCACAATTATTCGAAGTATCACAATACCTGATTAATCCGGGTCAAGTCCAGCTCTTATTTGAACTCCACTTCGAAGAATTGCTACATCGCCAATGGTTGGAACAGTTCCCATGTGGAGCGTGGCCTAACGAAAATGGCACGGCAGACTACTTTGTTTGGTACAGCTGCCTAACGAAAATGGCACGGCAGACTACTTTGTTTGGCACAGCTGCCAAAAAAGATAAGTTTTTCAAAGAGCTTGACAGCCCTGGTGAAGACGACGATGGCTACTACGCCGTCATCGAGGCCTTGTGGACTGTTGATTGATCGATTGCCCATAAAGGGTATGATGTATTTGGAATGAGCTGAAGAGCAAGTGATTCTTGGACAACATTCCTGGCATAAGTCTGCCAAAATACATTGCTGTACTCTAGTTATGAATGACACGGTGAGCGCATGCCTGCGTGTGTATGGACTCCATGGACTCCACCTACATTTATGTAGGTACAGTACATGTGTCATCAATATTTTATTCCGTAAAAAGTAGGGGATGGGTGGTGGGTCCTGGTTACTTTGTAAAATTCACGGATTGAAAAAACTATCGATATTTACGGATGGCCCCTTAGCCTTGTAGCATGCTGTCAACGGATCAACATGACAATCCTGTTGATTGTAACAGGGTTCGGGAGGGGGGGGGAGGGGGGGGGGGGTAAGGGGCGCATGGCCCCCTACCCCCCCCCCCAACTCTGATAGCGCACCACCCTACTCATTTTTCATTTTTTATTAATTTTGTTGTCAGTTCACACAGTGAAAGCGCTGCCACAAATCGATCGTTCCGGGTGCTCGCTGGGCCCGTACGTTGCATGTTCTGTGGCAGTGCAATAGGGAGACATGGGAAATGGGTTTTTTAATAAACTGTTTGTTTCCTGGACCGGCGGAAGCAGTTTTTGATTAGTCCGTCCATATCCTAGCTGCTCATACAGTTTGTGTATGATATGGAGGGTAGTCACATGACTTTCATACAGTTTGTGTATGATATGGAGGGTAGTCACATGACTTTCATACAGTTTGTGTATGATATGGAGGGTAGTCACATGACTTTCATACAGTTTGTGTATGATATGGAGGGTAGTCACATGACTTTCATACAGTTTGTGTATGATATGGAGGGTATACACATGACTTTCATACAGTTTGTGTATGATATGTAGGGTATACACATGACTTTCATACAGTTTGTGTATGATATGGAGGGTATACACATGACTTTCATACAGTTTGTGTATGATATGGAGGGTATACACATGACTTTCATACAGTTTGTGTATGATATGGAGGGTATACACATGACTTTCATACAGTTTGTGTATGATATGGAGGGTATACACATGACCTTCATACAGTTTGTGTATGCTATGGAGGGTATACACATGACTTTCATACAGTTTGTGTATGATATGGAGGGTATACACATGACTTTCATACAGTTTGTGTATGATATGGAGGGTAGTCACATGACTTTCATACAGTTTGTGTATGATATGTAGGGTATACACATGACTTTCGTACAGTTTGTGTATGATATGGAGGGTATACACATGACTTTCATACAGTTTGTGTATGATATGGAGGGTATACACATGACTTTCATACAGTTTGTGTATGATATGGAGGGTTTACACATGACGTTCATACAGTTTGTGTATGATATGGAGGGTAGTCACATGACTTTCATACAGTTTGTGTATGATATGGAGGGTATGCACATGACTTTCATACAGTTTGTGTATGATATGTAGGGTATACACATGACGTTCATACAGTTTGTGTATGATATGGAGGGTATACACATGACGTTCATACAGTTTGTGTATGATATGGAGGGTATACACATGACCTTCATACAGTTTGTGTATGCTATGGAGGGTATACACATGACTTTCATACAGTTTGTGTATGATATGGAGGGTATACACATGACTTTCATACAGTTTGTGTATGATATGGAGGGTAGTCACATGACTTTCATACAGTTTGTGTATGATACACATGACTTTCGTACAGTTTGTGTATGATATGGAGGGTATACACATGACTTTCATACAGTTTGTGTATGATATGGAGGGTATACACATGACTTTCATACAGTTTGTGTATGATATGGAGGGTTTACACATGACGTTCATACAGTTTGTGTATGATATGGAGGGTAGTCACATGACTTTCATACAGTTTGTGTATGATATGGAGGGTAGTCACATAACTTTCATACAGTTTGTGTATGATATGGAGGGTATACACATGACTTTCATACAGTTTGTGTATGATATGTAGGGTATACACATGACTTTCATACAGTTTGTGTATGATATGGAGGGTATACACATGACTTTCATACAGTTTGTGTATGATATGGAGGGTATACACATGACTTTCATACAGTTTGTGTATGATATGTAGGGTATACACATGACTTTCGTACAGTTTGTGTATGATATGGAGGGTATACACATGACTTTCATACAGTTTGTGTATGATATGGAGGGTATACACATGACTTTCATACAGTTTGTGTATGATATGGAGGGTATACACATGACGTTCATACAGTTTGTGTATGATATGGAGGGTATACACATGACGTTCATACAGTTTGTGTATGATATGGAGGGTATACACATGACGTTCATACAGTTTGTGTATGATATGGAGGGTATACACATGACGTTCATACAGTTTGTGTATGATATGGAGGGTAGTCACATGACTTTCATACAGTTTGTGTATGATATGGAGGGTATACACATGACCTTCATACAGTTTGTGTATGATATGGAGGGTATACACATGACGTTCATACAGTTTGTGTATGATATGGAGGGTATACACATGACGTTCATACAGTTTGTGTATGATATGGAGGGTAGTCACATGACTTTCATACAGTTTGTGTATGATATATAGCGGGGTAGTCACATGACCTTCTCAGCAGTAAACCCACGTTGGTGGCTAAAACCTTGGCCTGGCCATGGCCTGACCAACTGGACCGGTTCCGTTGGGCCTGGTTTCCCTGCCCCCCCCCTCCCCTACTATTTTTCCCGGCTACAACCTTGCCACAACGAGGCCCCTAGCCATGGCTCCGAAGTGGTGATGCGACCCTGGGCCGGTTACTAACAGGGCAGATCATCTCCTTATGCCGGCAGTATCATAGCTGCATTTGTAGAAGCACCAACATCACGAAAACAGGGAGAGGGGGGGGGGGGGAAGAATGATGTGCTACTTATGCATGTGGCCTCACCTTGGTATTGGACACACACACACACACTATAAGACCACTTCTATACTTCAATGCAGTACATGCATCTGCACAATCCACACCAGTCCGAATGAACCCTAGGACATTTTAGAACCGAACGTTTTCGTTCCCTTCTCTTCATGGGCTCTTATCTGTACCTGCGGGAGTTTGCGGAAAAAAAGTCTCGAAAACTTGCGCAAGAAATTGCGGCAGAAAACAACGAAAAATGCGGCAAAAAGTGCGGAAAGATGCAGAACTTGCCAGGAATTCGCGGAATTATTTGCAGAAAATTGCAGATTTGGGCCAAAGCACGAAATTTGTTGCATCTGTAGAATCGCTATTTGGCCAGTAGATCTACTCCAGGACGTCGTCAAATATGGTATGTGACGACTCCCTGATCTACTGCACTCTCTCGGGAGTAGTAAGAGTCGATTCTATGCAGAAAACCAACATGATCAGGGAAAGCACTGCGGGAAAAGTACAGAAGAATGTTTGAAAAAGTACAGAAAACAACAAAAAAATGCGGGAAATCTCGGATTATGCAGAAAAACGCGGGTTTGGGCCAAAATCGCGAAATTTGTTGCATCCGTGGAATCGCGATTTCCTGGAGGGACAGTCTTATGGGGAATATAGCAAAACTGACTATAATAGACCAATCCCGAAAAGATTGTCTGGGTTCGTGAAAGGGGGCACGCGTGCATGCATGCAAGCCAGCACGTGTGAAGTGCATCGTTTTGTATTCAGTTTGTGTGTGTCAGCTCATGGCGGAGGAGAGAGAGACTTTTGCTCGCCGAGCTGAAGCTAAAGGATTTGATGGAGTCTTGCCAGCAGCTAGTCAAAGGACCTTCGATACCTTAGGCAGACCCTGACGGAGTTTGGAGGCCAGATAGCTCTCGGTGAGGAGAGAAACATTCGCGTGGCGATCGACTCTCCGTAAAAAATGCAAGCTACATAGCGCCGACATACTGCAACAGCTACGATTTCAGCTAACTTCTCGATCTGCTGCTTCACAAAGTTCAACTATTTACAAGTCCTGAGTGTTGTAGTCTGAAGCTGGAGTCTCATCGCCCACCTACACTACAGGTAGCTTTTGGAGCTGATGGATTTCCCGACTTGGACTCCTTCCGCAAACTCTCGCAACATTACTACAGTGTATGCTGTGTTTCCGCACGCTCGTGTCGACATGTCACCTATACTGTACATGTACCGGGTCGCGGAGGAGCTTGACGACCTCCGCTGACTCCAGGTTTCCGAAATACTGCCGTCGTCTTCGTTGATGTCGCTGGTGACATTCTCCCCTTGCAGCACGTGCACATAGTTGTTGTCCCGGGGGTAAAGACTATGACATTGTTGTCTTTCGAAATAGTTCTTCATCACGCTCGCGCGAATGATGTTTCTCATCATGAACTCGTTCCGACGGTGTGACACGGCGATGGTCTTTAGCGGGGCACTGGCTTGGCGAGAATGATATCTTCTTGTGCAATATAACATTGATCGGCTGCAGATGAGTACAGTCACTTCGTGGTTGGTCCTATAGGAGGGCAGCTGCCAGGAAAGAGGCAGGACTCATCGAAGACGAAGCGCTCGCAACAAACAATAGCACTCGAAATATCTCGTAAGATTTAGGGCCTATCGCTTTGAGCCACAGCGCTCACAGCCTTGCCTACTTCATCAAAGTGAGCTCTACATGTTCGTTGACCTCTTCACACTACACAGAAGAGCGAAACAAAGATTATGTCTTAGCATTTCAACTCCAACAGCAGGCCATTACCAGTGCGAGAGAGAAAACTACAAAGGGCTTCGCTTTCTGTCGCATCGTCTCTCTTGCATGCAACTAACGAGAAAATCGTGTACTTACCCTCGCATTCACACGCGAACTATCGAACACGTCCTGTGCCGCATGCTGATCAGGTAGTGCCATGTATGTGTTGTACAGTGTACTCTCAGTTGACATGCCCCCTTTCGAACCCAGACAATCTTTTCGGGATTGGTCTATTGTAAGACAGCAATTACAAGGGCAAAGATCGCTGATTTATTGCTGTCTTCAAATCATTTTTGCTTTATTCGCTGTTAGTAAGAGGCCATGAAGAGAAGGGAACGAAAACGTTCGGTTCTAAAATATCTTAGTGTTCTTTTGGACTGGTGTGGATTGCGCAGATGCATGTATTACATTGAAGAATTGGAGACGCTTCCCTAGCCCTTTCCATGCCAGCATGTTTTCCTGTGTTGGCCACGCATTGTTCAGGCGCTGAGCTCAACTGTTCAAAGCTGCACACGCACCTCAGAACGAACTTTATTGCTATTTCACTGTACCTTGATGGATTTTCACGATCCATGGCATGTTGGAAAGATCTGGACAACAGGAAGCCATTTCAGGGACTCACAGCGCGGCAGGCATACCAGGGCCACTTCCATCTCCTCTCCAAGTCCCCCTACCATGCCTGAAAATAACAAAACGACTGCCTCTCATGTTTTCTTTCGTCTTCTTGCTCATTAGGGAGGTTTCACTCTACGGAATTACGTATGAAAATAACGTATGAACTGCACGGAATTTTCATACGTAAAAATCAGAGCTGCTGGGTTTCGCTCTACGTGATTTATCCACGACATGCGTTGTTGCTTTGGAGACGCGTTGGCTGCATGCGCCCACCGCATGCACCATGAACCGAAACCGCGTTTTCCATCTTATTTTGCACGTGGTGTACGGTGTGTGTACCTTGTGTTTCGCGCGGCTTGAGCGTTGCCATGGAAAAATGCGGAAAATGCGAAAAAAAATTCAAAAAGTCCTACGGAGGACCCAACGTAGGAAAGAGCTTTCCTACGGAAATCCGTAGAAAGATTTACGTATGAAAGCTGCCCTCGCTCCCCAGCGCGTACGACATGCGGATTTTCATACGTAATTACGTAGAGCGAAACCTCCCTATTGTGAACTGATTTTCACGATTCAAACTATGTTGGAAAGCTGAGATTCAAGCGCGTTTGTTGCAGCTGACTGCGCACGCGCTGTGTCTAGGGGAAATCCTCTAGCCCGCACGAAGTCGCGAACAAAAAATTTGAATCGATCGCCAAAATGTGAAATTTGCGCATTGTGGCCATTCAATTTATCGCCGCTCAGTCATACCTTGTCATATCGCGAAGAACGTTATATCCCTGGAAAACTAAGCTCAAGACCTTCCCAGCGGCGTCTCAACCTTAGCAGTCCAAGATATTTTGACGGAGTTATGACAGTTTGTACACTCGTCTATAGCGCGCGATACACATGTACTGTACAGTGTACATTGTAGTAGTGTAATTTGTTATTATATTATCCGATGATTTTGTTTTGTTTGCTATGATTCCGTGATTTTCTGTTGGTTGCTTTTCTGCTGTGCGAATAAATGCGGTGTCCACACTAAATATAAATAAAAAAAGTAATTTGTACAGTGCAGGCAGAACGCGTAAATTAAACGCGTCCATGGCCAATCGGCTCATGCCAAAAAAACGCGTATACGCGTCCATGGCATGGAAAGGGCTATAAACCACTTCTATTAACGGACATTTGTGAATCAATAATATGGGTAAATCAGTGTGACAAATTAAAAACCTCTTGAACGGCAGAAAGTAACACAACGAAACATGAACCAAGCCGGACAAAGCAATGACGATGACGATGAGGCGCAGACAAAAGGGCAAAAGCATTCTGAGCGTGTACTAGTAAGTCGAATACTGGCTGTTCTTCAAGAGAGAAAAGAAGAAAGTTGACAAGTATATTGAATAATGTTTAGCTTCTATCATGTTTGCTATGAACCAGAAATTGATTTGGTAATAGAGGGGCATAGCCGGGGTTTCATTTTGAAGTTGTTCCCAGTCGACTCTACATGTAACAGTCTGCATTTCGTGACAACACATCTGGCAGCGGCTTGTACTCCGGTGCAACTTATACTCCGGAAGATACAGTACGAACAAGCAAGATCTGTTATTGAGACTCTAGCCGTATGGTTAGAGACGAGAAGGCAGAAATGCCTGTGAATCTGGTGAAGTGAAATAAAAACAAAAAACTCCTGTATCCCTGATGATGCCCTTTTGGACAATAATTCTACTGTTCTTCGTGGTGTAGCCAACGACTGTTTTGTGTGTTGCGAGTTGGGTGTACTGAAAACAAAAACGAAAAAACAAACAAACAAGAAAAGTGGTTCTCCCGCACAGAATACTAGATTCAGCAGAGCTAGAGATGGAGACACAGGCGGGCAACAGAATCATGCCACTGGAGAGACACATCGGGGGAGACCAAAATAATCAAAATACTAGTTTCCGAAAGTCGGCACTGCGCCTTGAACCCATAATTATGTGGATATAAACAACCGTACTTGTCCACATGTCCATGATGTCCTCTGTACACAATCTGATGTCATCGTGTTTCCGTGTCTGTGTGTCTTTGTGTTTTCTTTTTCGCTGACATTCAGCTAGTTGGGAGCAACGGCAGTGAAGGTCACCACTGATTGATAAGCAACAGTGCAGCAGGATGGTGTGAAGATCACCACTGATTGATCAGGGACCGTGTTACGGGATGGCGCGAAAACCACCATCGATTGATCGGGGACCGCGTTGCGGGAAGGTGTGGAGATCACCACTGATTGATCAGGGACAGTGCTGCCGGCTGGTGTGAAGAAACAAACACCGACATCCCCGCTGGTTGTTAGTCCCTGCTCTCCACAATTTTGCATCCAACAACACCACCAATGTCCATCACAGTGTTGGTGAATACAAGCTTGTCAGCAGACACAACAACAGACCGGTATCCGTCATAAACAACCAGAGTTGCAGCACCCAGCATGGAAGCGGCACCACCGGCAGCACTCATAAAACCAACGAAGTCTCCCACGGGTACCGGTATTCACTTCAACTTCCGTACACCGTACATTTGGAATTTCCTTGCTATGGAGTACGGTGTTGTGAATGTGGACCGTGTGGAGTGGTGGAGTGTTTCAAAATTTCAGAATGGTCGAGTTCCTCACAGCTTCTACGTTAACTTCTGTACATGCCTATTAGGTAATACAGCATGATAACTGGGACAAAGATTGAGTGACAGAACAACCAGAGTGCAGCAACGCTGCTCTACATCTGCTCCAGTTGAAGCCCTGACAGACATGAAAAAGGTGTCAATGTCATTCGCACGGAAACATAGATCATGAATTGGGAAAAAGCCCCATCATCATCATCATCATCATCATCATCATCATCATCATCAGCAGCAGCAGCAGCAGAAACCGGCAATAGCAATGTTAGTGACAGTTTCACACCCCTTGTTTTACCACTGTGATTATGCGTGCAGTTCAGTAACCCGCACGTAGTATCACAGATACATCGTATTCTCTCTCTCCCCCCGTTTACCCGCAGTTATTAGTATCCTATTCTCTTACTATGTGCTTCCATAGCTTTTACTATGTTCTTCCATAGCCACTTCTAGGCTAAGCCTTCGCCGTCATTTTATTGGGTCGTCATCCCGTTTGAATGTGCGAAGTGAAATAAAAACCAACCAACCAACCAGTAGTCTTCAGATGCCCGGTGCGTCTTTCTTCTTCTACAGGGAACTGAACTGCTCATGTGTGTGTGCACACGTGTGCGTGCACGAGCGTGTGTTCCTTCAGATTTGATTTCACTTCTTGTGCTCCAACTTTGCTATCTTAGACACTTCTGCTACATTTCCGAGGTTTTCGTTCCGGATATCGGCTGCCTCCATTGTTCTTGGTTGCCAATAGCCATAATTTTGCAAGAAACGCATTGCAAGGGTGAGCCGTTATTCTGTGGTTCCATTGATGCAAAAATACTAGCGGCTGTTGTCAGGACAACCAGGCTTGTGTTTGATGTGCTTGGTAGTTGATTACTTTGTCCGGGTTCGAGTATCTGTCTGCTGCTATGGTTACGGGACGGCTTTCCCCGCCGCCACCATTTGTCCGGGTACAAGTACTTCAAAGTACATTGTTTGTCTGCTGTCAGGACAACGGGGTGGGCCCTTTATCTGCCGTCTTTTCTGTCACTCTATCCACTGGAGTAGGAAATCCTATAAGTCAAAACCAGGTTGTAGGCTGGTAGGGTGGGGATGGTGGACTTCCAGCTTCTGAATGAAACTCTTGGCAAAATTTTCAGAATTCTTTCGAAAAAGTTTGAACTGTTCCCTTTGTTCTCTCTCTCTCCTGTTTTGGCTCCGACCTGCCATTAACCTGACGGTCCACTACATTGGGCACTACACTGTCTCCTCCCCACCCATGAGCAGCCATTGCTTCTTCTTACCATGCTGTGCCCCGAGCCCAAACACAGACACAGTGTGTTATGCTTGCACACTCACATGCACAGCCATCATCATTCCGGCTCTGGACGCGTTTTCGACTGCATGTTGGCTGATCACAGGGCCAGTAGTGCATGTATGTACACCATGTATGTATGCTGCCAGTAGTACATGTATGTACATCATGTATGCTGCCGAGCACTATCATTATCATAGCATGCATATAGTGACAATCCTGCACAATGCTTCTCGGATCTGACTGTGACATCAGAGATGACGTCATCATGACATCACACTCGCTCAGTATACCGGTATCATAATGCATGTTGTAGTGTTGTTGTACTGCATGCACACTCATTTCCTCAGGCATATCAGTATGTGTGTATGGGAGGGGGGGGGGGGGGGCATGCAAGGTCACAGAGCCCAAAAAAAGTTCACAACAGAACATGTAGAATCGAACCAAATCTGGTCGAAACACACAAGAAACAGTTAGGAGACTGCAGACTAACCACTTGGCCAGGAAGACCTGTTGCCAAAACTGGAGCCTATGCACTCTTCATAAATTTGGATGGGAACACTGCGATAACCAGTGGGTAGTACCGTATGTGGTACTGTACTCCCTGGTGACAACAGTTAACAGGAGCAATGGGATGGGATACGAGAATGTGTATTACGGCAATAGAGCCTGTTGTTCAAGTCACAGTGCAGTGTTGTAGAGTGCATACAGCAATACATTAACGTGTCATTCATCACTCAGCGGAGAGCTGAACACGTAACTGAGCAAAGGCAGCGCTTGGAAGAAGACTCAGCTGTGTGTAGATCGGCAGAACTATAACTTGGCGGAATTCTGGAATTGCATGCGAGACTGACGCGCTTACAGCCTGCACGATATTCAACTGCGTTTGGGAAGTACAAAACATCCGTGTCAGTTGTGCAGCCTACCCATGGTTGACACAGCATATGCCAATTTAGCACTTACAACATCAAAATTATACAAAGTATAGCAGTGTGTGCACATGCAGCGGCATGCCAATGCATACACAGACTAATTGTGAGAAAGCAACTATCAATCATAGTGCTGTCGGCCGAGGTCAATGGAGGAAATGAAAAATCCAGGAGCAGAGCAAAGGCTAGAAAAAGAAGTTCATAGGAGAAAGACGGTAGAGTGGAAGGTGGGAATTCAGACAGGGGAAAAACAACGGATGATTGTGTTGAAATAATACAAAAAATGTTACGGTACGAGGTGATTTGGCGGAGGTAGATACGGAGAGAGAGAGAGAGAGAGAGAGAGAGAGAGAGAGAGAGAGAGAGAGAGAGAGAGAGAGAGAGAGAGAGAGAGAGAGAGAGAGAGAGAGAGAGAGAGAGAGAGAGAGAGAAGGAGAGAGAGAGAGAGAGAGAGAGAGAGAGAGAGAGAGAGAGAGAGAGAGAGAGAGAGAGAGAGAGAGAGAGAGAGAGAGAGCTAGGGAGAAAGAGAGGGAGTGTGAGAGAGGGGGGGGGGAGTGAGAGAGAGAGAGAGTGTGTGTGTGTGTGTGTGTGTGTGTGTGTGTGTGTGTGTGTGTGTGTGTGAGAGAGAGAGAGAGAGAGAGAGAGAGAGAGAGAGAGAGAGATAAAGGCATTTGTGACATTTGTAGGAAGAAGACTTGCTAAAAAGCCTCTTGCGAATCTCGCATGTCAGTCACGTGCAGTTGCAGGCTTACGGGGCGCCTGTGCGTGATAGACCAAATGCCACTCATGTCCTTCCTGCAAGGAATCAAACCAGTCGTCCACCGGCAGCAGCCATATAACCCACACGATCCGTCCATCGGAGCTGGCCCGGGCTCCATGAGCTGGATGGGTCTGAGCAAGCCGTGCGAATAGGAGCTGACTAGGCACCTGGTCCATCGGCATCCACACGATATGGCTTAGCCCCTGGAGCAGCCGTTTCCTCAGAACAGTCGACAGTAAGTCTGATTCGCTCCATCACTGGCGGAGATCGGCATTGGCGACATGGTCAAGTTCCTGCTCCCTTCCGCGTGATATGGCCACCTTCTGCAGCTGCTATCTCCACAGAACATCCGACAGCCAGTTTAGATTTCCAAGATCAGCATTGGCGACAGGGTCAGGCTCCTGGTCGTATCGCAGGTACACTCGCATTGGATAGCCCTGTCACACATACTCACAGACATGTATTGGCACACATAAAAAACGCACAAAAACATCAACAACACACACAGACAGACGCACGCACGCACACGCACACACACACACACACACACACACACACACACACACACACACACACATGCATACACACACACACACACACACACACACACACACACACACACACACACACACACACACACATGTACTGGCACACAAACTAAACACACACACACACACAAACTAAACACACACACAAGCTAACATCACCGGCACACACAGTACTTGCAGTATTTGCTATGGGAATAACCACTAAGGGGCCATACGTAAAATTAAAATAGATATTTATTTAGAAACGAAAACTAGTCGTTTAGGGGGGGGGGGGGGGGTTGAGCGCCTGTTCGTTTCTCGAAAAATATCGATGCACAGTTTGTATGTGTGGGCACGGCCAGAAAAGAAAAGAATAAATATCGATACTATGCATCGTTTGTATGTGTTCGTTTCTGAGGGAGGGGGGGTGAAGAGAAACGACTAGTTTTCGTTTCGAAATAAATATCGGTATTATTTTACGGATGGCCCCTAAGGGACAGTTGTGTGTTCAAATATTATATCCTTCAAACAAACTCAAAAACAGATAACAGAGAACATTGGCGGCAATTTTTCTCTGTCTTGCTGTATGTTTTGTTAGCTGGTCCGACTCCGTTTGTTTCCCATACTTTCAACATGCACTTGAACCTGTTCAGCGGCTGCTTGTGCCATTGAACCTTTTGGCTTGAAGAAAGCCATTTTCAAACTGGAGATAAAATACAAGTTTCTCACCCCTGGGTACTAATCACTACATATGTTTCCGTATGTTTCATAGCCTCATCCAAACCAAAACAGCAGTAGCTAGCATCGCGTGTCTTCATCAGCAGTGATCAGCTGCTCCACAGCACCACCAACCATTGGGCTTCAGCAGCTAGAAAAGATCTACCTTTAAGAACGGCTTTGGCTAGGAGGCTGACCCTAGTTCTTCACCAGTCAACACTACTACACTTTCTTTTGAAGTTTCCAGTCACACGAGTCACAGAGTACCATGCATCTGTTTCGGTAACTAATAGTTCCATGCCAGATCGGGCAATCTTCAGACAACAGTTACTGATAACAGTGATGCACAGCTAGTATGGTATTTAGACAGGGGCATAGGTGGGAGTCCGTGACGGCCCAGTTGAAGTCTGGTGGGTGTGAAAAGTCCTGGAGGGAAAACGTGCCAAACTCCCTTAGTCTAGTGTGAGTGAGAAAAGAGAATATGACGGCAGGAAAGCAAGCCGGGCTGGGTGAAAGATGATGTGACTTGCCGGCAATCACATGCCGGTGCAAGATTTCCCCGCACTTTGGTAAACGCCTCAAATCAGTTAGAGATGGGGAGATAATTTCCCTATAATGTACAAACAAACAGGTGCAGCAAGGTGCAAATTTCCACGCGCTCTGATGGCTAGGCTACAGGTGCTTAGAATAGGTGAGGAAAATGAAATGACACGACGGCAAGCAAGGTTACGTGCACGATACTACACGGATGCTTCCATCAGAACCATCAGAGTAGGGGTGGCATCAGAATAGGGGGGGGGGGAGGTGCCATCAGAGTAGGGGTGGCGTCAGAGTAGGGGGGGGGGGGGAGGGTGCCATCAGAGTAGGGGTGGCGTCAGAGTAGGGGGGGGCACCAGAGTAGGGGTGGCGTCAGAGTAGGGGGGGGGGGGAGGGTGCCATCAGAGGAGGGGTGGCGTCAGAATAGGGGGGGGGGGGGAGGGTGCCATCAGACTAGGGGTGGCGTCAGAATAGGGGGGGGGGGTGCCATCAGAGTAGGGGTGGCGTCAGAATAGGGGGGGGGGGAGGGTGCCATCAGAGTAGGGGTGGCGTCAGAATAGGGGGGGGGGGAGGGTGCCACCAGAGTAGGGGTGGCATCAGAATAGGGGGGGGGGGGAAGGGTGCCATCAGAGTAGGGGTGGCGTCAGAATAGGGGGGGGGGGGGGGGAGGATGCCATCAGAGTAGGGGTGGCATTAGAATAGGGGGGGGGGAGCATCAGAGTAGGGATGGCGTCAGAATGGGCGCGGGGAGGGTGCCATCA